CTTCTCCATCATGATTGTTTGTGTCCTTTCCTTACTCAGCCTTTGATTGCCATGTCCTTTAAAAGCAGGGCTAGGCTTTTCTGAGTCTATCTAAGGGCTCTGTTTGCCTTTTTCTCCCATGAAGGTAAGGACCAGCAGGCTACTCAGAATTAGGAAGGAAATTGATGGCATGTTGTCAGCTGCTCAGCAAAGCCCTGGCACCCAGAATTATCTGCCTTGGAGGGATTTTGGTTCAGAGCATTGGTAAGGAAGAAGCAGATTGCTCAGAACTGAGGCTCAGTATTGAAATGAAATCGAATCTGGCTGCAGGCCTGAAGATCCCAATGTTGTACCTATAATATAAGTTCAAGTACTTAACATTCTTATAGTTCTTTGTGTTCTGAGGAAACACTTCACACTTTGCACAGGAAAGTAACATTCATCAAATGCCCATGCATATGCCATGCTCCACCTGTGTCAAAATTCTGATAACACCCACAATATCAACTGATTGTTTTATGATTAGAGAAACCAAGACTTAGGAAATGGAGGAGCTGGTCCCCAAACACACTGCTAGAAATTGATAAAATAAAGTTTTAGAAGCAAAAAATTTTCAACTATAAGTACCTACACCATTTACCCAGTGACTTAAAAATTTCAAGTGCTGAAGATTCACAGCAAAGCATTAGGTAAATGTTACTGAATTTTAGCCTTAGAATTTTTTTTTTTGGTTTTTTTCGAGACAGGGTTTCTCTGTGTAGCTTTGCGCCTTTTCCTGGAACTCACTTGGTAGTCCAGGCTGGCCTCGAACTCACAGAGATCCGCCTGGCTCTGCCTCTCGAGTGCTGGGATTAAAGGCGTGCGCCACCACCGCCCGGCTTAGCCTTAGAATTTAAAGCCCATAGTGTTTAAATACTCTGTTAAGTCACACGACTGTGCATGACAAAATAACATCTAATAATTAATCTAACTTACAAGTCCTTACCATAATGTGTCAAGTTTTCGCCTTTAAATACTTCTAAAGCCTGAATATCACTCACTCAGTTACCAAATATTCTTTCACCAGAACCTCAATTCATGGGAAATAAAAATTAATGTCTCTTGCTCCTCACCTTCATCCATGTAATTTCCAGCTTAGAGCACACCTCAGCTCCTTCTAGCTTAGGGCAGAAATCTAAGAAAGCTTGTTAGTTTATTCATTTGAACAGGCTACAATTCTTCCTATGCCCAAGGCAGCATGAAATATGAGATTTGCAGTTAGGGATCTTAATTCAAATCCTGTTTTTAAATAAGATGTCCTTTGTGTTCTCAGAAAAAGTTGGCTGCTTTGAGTTTTGCTTTCATGTCTGTGACTGAAGGCACACCTTCCTTAATGGGCAGCCATGCCAGTTTGAAATGACACAGGCAACGTCTCAGTGCTGGTGGCACCCAGTTAGTGTGGGGCAATGCAGTACAATGCTGTGATTCTCAGAGTGAGGATTGGAAATCTTTGGCATCCTCAAGACCCTTTTTAGGATCCATGAGTTCAAAAGTGTTCTCTCTCTCTTCTCTCTCTCTCTCTCTCTCTCTCTCTCTCTCTCTCTCTCTCTCTCTCTCTCTCTCTCTCTCTTCTCTCTCTCTCTTTCTTTTCTTTCTTTCTTAAGAGGAAAAATTGTCTTTATTGAGTCCAGAAGATTCCAGAAATAAATTCCAATGCTTCATTTTTTTTTGGCTCTAATTTGGTTTTTATTTTTAATCTAAACAAATTGTATTGTTTTAAAGAAAATGTCATGATTGCTTTCAATCTTTAGAACATACTTTTCAGTGAATATATATACACCCTCATATATGTAGCTCATCATTTTCTATGACAAATATCGAAATGGCATGTCAGTGTGGTTTAGGTTTTTCTTCCTATGGTGCTAATGGCAATGCTTATCTTCATATATGTGGATGGTTTTGTGATGTTCTATTCTATAAAGTGTCTAGTCAAGAGTGTGGTCCATTTTTTCTATCAAGTTGTTCATTTTTTCTTTTAGGTACTCAATTTTATTTTTCTTCCCATCTTTGATTCTTTCTTTTATCATGTCCTGTGATGTGTATTCAAATATTTCTTTGTTTAAATTTTATTAAGAGATTTTCTATTTATTTTACATATCAACCTCAGATTCCCCTGTCCTCCCTCCTCCCACCCCCCAGCCTTCCCCCACAACCCAACCCCCATTCCCACCTCCTCCAAGGCAAGGTCTCCCATGGGGAGTCAGCAGACCCTGGTACATTCAGTTGAGGCAGGTCCAAGCCCCTCCTCTCTGCACCAAGGTTGTGCAAAGTGTCTCAGCATAGGCACTAGGCTCCAAAAAAGCTGGCTCATGCACTAGGGACAGGTCCTGATTCCATTGCCTGGGGGCCCCCTAAACAGTTCAAGCTAAACAACTGTCTCTCATCCAGAGGGCCTAGTCCAGTACCATGGGGGCTCCTCAGCTATTGGTCCACAGTTCATGTGTTTCCGCTAGTTTGGCTAGTTATCTCTGTACTTTTTCCAATCATGGTCTCAATATCTGTTGCTCATAGAATCCTTCCTCTCTCTTGTTGACTGGACTCCTGGAGCTCTGCCTGGGACCTGGCCATGGATCTCTGCATCTGCTCCCATCAGTCACTGGATGAGGGTTCTATCATGACAGGGTATTCAGCCATCCGATCACCAGAGTAGGTCAGTTCAGGCGCCTTCTTGACCATTGCCAGTAGTCTATGGTGGAGTCCTTTGTGGATTCCTGGGGACCTCCCTAGCACTCTGCTTCTCTCTATTCCTGTGGTGTCTTCATTTATCATGGTATCTCTTTCCTTGTTCTCCCACTCTGTTCCTGTTCCGGCTTGAACCTCCTGCTCCCCTAAGTTCTCTTTCCCCCATCCCTTGCCCTCCATTACCCCACTCACCCTCAGTTTGCTCCTGTAGATCTCATCTGTTTCTCCATTGCTGGGCGATCCCTGTGTCTTTCCTAGGGTCCTCCTTACTAGCTAGCCTCCCTGGAGCTGTGGGTTGCAGTCTGGTAATCCTTTGCTTTACATCAAGTATCCACTTATGAGTGAGTACATACCATGTTTGTTTTCCTGAGTCTTGGTTACTTCACTCAGGATATTTTCTAGTTCCATCCATCTGCCTGCAAACCTCATGATGTCATTTGTTTTCAAAACAACACGAGGACCTTAAAACATTTTATATTTTATTTATTTGTATATGCGTGTATGCCTGCCTGGGTGTATGTACACCACAAGCTTGCAGGTGCCATGGGAGCCTGAAGAGGGTGTAAGAGACCTCAGAACTGGAGTTACAGGCAGCTGTGCTCTGTCCAATGTGGATACTGGGAATCAAACTGTGGAAGAGCATAGAATTCTCTTAACTTGAACCATCTTTCCAGCACCCACATTAAGATCTTATTTGGCTCTTTCACTAGATGATACTGGTACATTCCACAGGTTACAGAGCATGATGGACTGCAGGGAATGGTCATAGAGAATATCTTGTTGCCCCCTCACCCCCATATATACTATGCTGTCTTACAGCAGCCTCTTCCAGGATTCTCTGCATTGGAATCCCTGTAAATCTCAGAAAACTGATCAAGTGCATGGCTTCCACTATAGTCTGATGTAATTGATATGTTTGCCTATGGTGCACTGGGGATTCTGGAAGTTCCTTAGATGATGTGAATGGCAGCCAGCCAAGTCTGTGAACTGTTTCTTTAGGGGTTTTGAAAATAAAGCCAGTGCTATTCTTCACATTACTTTGGAAAATATAGTTGTTTTGGAAAGGCATTATTTCTGTCAACATTAAATTACTTTTAATTTTGAAGGGTGTAAAAGGGTTCAGAGACCCAACAAGAGCTCTTGAGACAGATACCGGCAGATAAGGAGTGAGACCTCTCGGGCTGTGGAACCAGACTACATGTTGATGTGGACCCACCACTGCAAGCTTTGTGACATTGAGCAGATCTTACCCTTTTCATGCTTCAGCCTCCTTGTTTAGATGTAATAATAACAGTTTTCTCAGGATTTTGTGAGGTCAAAGGAGCAGCAGCTATACCATTTGGTACAAACTCTGTACCATAGTAGCTCCACCAATACTTGCCATCATTGATTATTGATTTGAGTATTTATCCTAGTTTGCTTCTCTGCTGCTATGGTCAATACTATAGCCGAAAGAAATTTAGGGGAGGAAGGGGTTATATCTGGCTTATACTTTCAGATAACAGTCCATCACTGAGGGAAGTCAGGTCCGAGACTCAAAGCAGCAATCTGGAGCAGAAACCACGAAGAGGTGCGGCTTACTCTGTTCTCTGACCCATCACCCTGCCAGCTTTTTTATACAGCTCCCCCTCACCTGCTGGGGGATGTCACCACCCATAGTGGCATGGACCCTGCCACATCAAGTGTCACAGTGTCCCAAACATGACCACAGGTCACTTTATCTGGGTAATTACTCAATTGGCCATTTCTCTTCCTGGGTATCTTTAGTTAGTGTCAAGTTAAAAATAAAAAACTAACCAGCATGCTGTAGCTACTCTTGTAGCTGGCTAATAACAATTAACAGTCTCGTGGCTTCAAGATAAAAGTTTCTGACTGACCCATTCTTCCTTTCAGTTCATCTTCTTGCTTCATGGAGCGGGAGCCCTTGTGTGGCGTCTCTTAGGGGACTCATCAGGAAACTTTCATGTGTAGACTTCCAGTCAGATGACGAGGTCACCTGAGTTTGAGCTTTGGTTCCTCTCTTTACTTATAGAGTGGCCATGCCCCAAAGAACAAGAAGGGTGATTACACCGAGGTAATCATTCTGTTGGGAGAGGAAGTGGCATTACCAGGATGCAGGATGGGTTTCATCAGCCAAAATGATCCCCCTTGAGTCGCTCCCAGCCCCTTTTGCTTCAAATAATTACGAATTTTAAATATGTATTTGTGTTGGCTCTTTATCACAAGCAGTACTGGCCTCTAAGCTGTCTCACATTGCATCTTTACTTGCACAGTGCTATTCAACAACAGCCTTCTGCAAATTAGTTTTTGGTGTATCCCAAAAATGAGGAAAAGAGGGAAATGAACAGTTCAGCAATGCTGAAGATCATCAACATAGCCAAAATCCCCTGCAACAGAAAGAAACAATGGAGTCATGATGTTAGGACAGTGATTGGTTTTCTGATCACAATGAAGTAGCCATTACCACATAATAAACCATTACTTCTCAAATTAGTGAAGGATAATGGGAATATAAGCTATACCAGAATAGCATAGGATAACATTATTGTCTTAAAGAAAATTAAACAGAATATTTGCTAAATTATATTCAGGACATTCTCCATTTTATAGACACAGCATTCACAGAGCAATGCATATCAGAAAAGTGGTCTCTTGAAGGACAAAGATAGAATAAAGCCAAGATGTAGGAAAATGGTAGAGACAAAAATAGAAAAGGCAAGAAAAAGAGGGGGAAAGAGAAAACTACTACCCCAGAAAAAAGTAACACATGGAAAAAGAGACATGGAGAGAAAGCTAGGCTAGAAGCACCACTCAGAAGACTTTAAAAGTAGATTGTACCATGCTAGCTAAGAGTACACACAGCCATACACACCTGGCCCGGAGTCCACAGGCTGGACCCTGGCACAGAGCTGGTTGAAGCCTGCCCTCTTCCAAGAATGGATCCTTCTATGGCCATTGCAAAGGCTCGTATGATTAACAGTCTATTCTATGCTATATTTGTCAAGTGTATCTTTATGATAGGTTGAATAACAATTTAAGGCCACCTAGTTTTTAATCTAATGTCATGGTGTAAAGCATTTCAATACTTTACTCTTCTGTGACAGGAGCTGATACATTTCCTTCTTTTTTCTGTGTTTTTTCTTTTTTGTTTTACTCTGAACAAAGCTGCAGCAGTGTTCTTGTAACACATGTTTATATAGAGGTGACTTAGTTGCAGTGGAGGTAGATACTGGGCTGAAAGCTGAATGTGCCTTTTATGTAAATGAATGCTGTCTCCTTACTGTGCCATCTCAGATGATGATGCATCTTTTCATTATGTCTCTGCTTGCCATCCTACTTCCTCATTAATCCTTGACTGCAGCCTGGGAGCTTCTGATTAAATCCTGGTGGATGCTGAATACATCAATTAATAAATTACCAGACTTTTGACAGAGAGAAAGCAAGTTGAAGAATTTTACAGATGGACTTAATCAAATTGAAGAGTTCCTCCTCTATTCATGGCTTGTTGAGTGTTTTTGTCATTTAATGATGAATTTAGTCAATGTTTTCTTTCCTCTGTCCACTCAAATATCATGTGAGTTTCATCATGTGTTTTGTCGATATAGTATAGTAAATACATAGATTTACTTAAACATACATTTCATTCTTAGGATACAGGATACCTGGTTGTAGTTGGGGACCCTGTGTACATATCACTAGATTCAACATGGGGATATTTATAAGAAATATTGGTCTGTAGTTATCTTCATGGGTTTTTAGTGTTTGGGCCTGGTTAATTTCAGCCTTACAGAATAGCCAGACACTGTCACAGTGATGTCATGTTAGTAAGGTTGTCTACTAGTTATTTTGAACCTTGAACTAGCATGGAAAAAATAGGAAGATAAGAAAGCCACAATTATTGGTAACTGGCACTTTGAAGGAGGGTGATTTTGCTCCAGTAGTCTTGAATGGAAAAGATGTAGTTGCCAATCCCAAGGAGTTTGAGCTGCCTATGAGCTGTCGTGTCTTATAGAACATCTACTCTGGAATTTCGTAAGGACTACTGTTTGAGACTACATGAGGTGTACAGGTGACAGTGGGTGGTGGTTTTAGTGAGATGTTATCCACTGATGCTTCAGTATACATCTTCTCTGAATACACACACACACACACACACACACACACACATAAATGAACATATCTATATGTTATAAAGATATAAAATATGTTATATACAATATTATATGTATGTATATTCTCTTGCTGAAATTCACAAAGAACAATGATAGATTGGATTGGATTATTGGCAAAGGAGCATGGTCTATCTTGTTTGTATTAGCTGTTATTCACAGAGTCATTTCTTTTTATACATGTTTTCAGTTTGAGTTGGAAAAGTTATAGGGCTTCTAGAAGCTATTGGTCATTTATCCCCATATATCCTTTAGCATTAGCAAATGTTCAAGTTGTGAGCATTCTTGGATCATATCGTTGGTGTCTACTGAAGGTTAAAATTTCAGGGTGTGGGGACAGGGCTGAGGAGTGGGAAGAAGTCAGAAATTTGGTTTGTGGCTACAATTTGAGTACCTTTTTTCTGTATTCACCTTATTCAGCCAGTCCTCTGTACCACTTTAGTGCATGACACTTTGTCTTATCCTTACCTGAAGGCTAAGAAGCCTGTTAAGGGCCTAGGTCACTGTAGATCTACCTTGAGTGGACAATGGCCTTCATGTCTCTCTCATAATTATATTGCAGAAGGCCAACACTGACACACAGCTGTGACATGTAAGCAGTTTTTGTGTTCTTTAACATTCTCTTTAGAAATTCCAAGTCCTAAACTTTTCTTTTACAAACTTCTAGTTTATGAATAGCAGACTTCTAAGGTTTTTAAATATCTTTGAGTGAGTTTTGTTTTGTTTGTTTTATATATAGTACTTCATTTTCAGAAAAGGGATGATTTGAAAAGTTCTGCTCAGCATGACCAGGACAAGTTCCCTCTTTTCTGCTACCCTCCCCTGATTTTGGGGGTCCTATTGCACCTAATCACACCACACACTATCTTAGAACAGCTTTCTTTTACCTGAGCTCCATTCTCTCAGGTAGTTTTGAACTTCTTCAGCAATTTTTGGGGGGCATTGGGATCCAAACTATTGCCTCATCTTGACTAAGCATGCACTCTATAATGAAGTTAGCCATGTTAGCAGTCTTTAATATGCCTACTTGATTATCATTTTATTTCTATATAGATTCACTCATACCTTTTTACGTTATTTTACACCATTACTGCAGTAGTTTGGACAGAGTAGAAATGTCTATTTTCAGTTTACCATAGTTTATCAGAAATATAATCTAAATATTAAAACCAAAGACACAATTATAATATATATTGGGAACTTTGAACCACAAGCATACCACTATGCCTCTATCTTTTGGTGTCACTTTCTATTTTTATTATCCTTATTTTACTTGCATGTTTTATACCTTTTATAAGTTGTTGACTGTTTATTGTTCTACTCCACAATGCCTGACATAATGTTGGTCTAGTATAGTGGACTCTTGGATGTTTTGAGCAAAAGGAAATACACAGGTGCCCATAATATTATCTGGATGGTGCTGACTGGGTGCTAATTTTTTTGTTTAAACCATCTGCTTCTCACTTTATAAATGGCACAGGGTACTTACAAGGAATAGAACAGTAATAGGACCACATTGAATAGCATCTGGAGAATAGCCACAGATGAATTCTTTATCTAGAAGGAAACCAAATATGAGGAGAATGATTCCAGCTGCTGCTCCCAGGGCACTAAGTAAATTCATCACCTGGCTCATTTTTATCTGCAATAGAATCAGAACATAACACAAGACTCAGGCCTACCTCGTACCACAGACAGAGCAGTGTGGGGTGGGTGAGTACTGGAGAGCTGGATTAGTCACAACACCAAGAAGCCACCATGTGATCATTTAAAACATTTACCACTCATAATACACCTTTAGGCATTCACCCGCAGTGAATGGAGAAGTCAACCAGCCTTTGATAACCTCTCTGTCTCTCACATTCTGGGCCTGGGTTAACTTCCATTTAAATAGAGGGAGCTATGGCTTGTTTAAATGTTCATTTAAAAACCGTATTTAACCAAACACTGCATTTCTCTGTCACTTTTCCATCTTCTTAAAATTACAAACTTTTAGGGCTGGTGAGAGGACTCAGCAGATAAAGGTACTTGCCACCCGATAACCTGAGTTCCATCCCTGGACCCACACCGTGGAAGGAGAGAACCAGCTCCTAATAGCCGTTTTCTGACTTCCACAGGTACCCTGTGACTTCCACAGGTACACTGTGACTTCCACAGGTACCCTGTGACTTCCACAGGTACACTGTGGCATGGACATGCCCCCCCCCCCCCAATACACATACCTGATAAATAAAAGTAAGCACATTTTAAAATTACAAAATTTTCCAGTGTTTTTGATCCAAATAACTTACTGACTTATTAATTACTATCTAATGTCTTTGTTTCTTTGAGATAGAATATCCTACACCTACAAATTTATATAGATCAGCAACGTATTCTTTACCTCTGGAGTCCGTTTATGGTTTAATTGGGTTGTCCACATTGTGCTTTTCCTGGTAAAGCATCTGGTGTGCAGTAGGCACCAAAACTACTTATGAAAAGAATGAATGACTGAATTACTGAGACCCAATCTGCATTAACGACCAGAGACCATGGACGAGTCATTGAACTGTTCTGTGCCTCAGTGTCTTCATGTAGAATATGAGACTCAAACATGATAACCTGGAAAAGTCTCTTGATGACTAATGGTTTCTGATTCTATGATGATTTCCAAAGCCAGGCAGTTACTTAGCCATTATAATTTTTTAAGGTAGAAATAGAACTCACCAGAGTGTCCGTAGTTTTTCTTTTCAGTGCAATCAGAAAGGCTCCAGAGTTAATGAACTACACAAACAAATAAATAAAGTATAAATATTTTAATGATGGACAGAGGAAGCTGATGCAGAGGGTTTCTCAGTCAGGTCTCTGCCCACTTCTTCCCTATGCCTCCCTCCTAAGGTCACAGAAACCCCAAGGGAGTGAGGAGGGTGAGCCACCTCACATGGCTGTTCACAGAACAGAGAACAAAAAGGCTAGATCTGCTTTAGTCTTGGCCACCTGTTTGAAGAAGAGGATGTTTCTACCTTACTGGACTTTTATTTCCTCATCCATTCTCCTGTTATTGATAACCATGACTCAGCTACCAAATGATACCAGTGTCATCAGTTTATGAATACTAATGTTATAGAGTCATTATAGTACAATCTGTGTGTTCTGTTGTATGGGAACACTAGGTATAACTTCAGCCAACAGACTGGAGAAAGGAAGAAAGAAAGGAAAGAAAGAAAAGAAAGGAAAGAGGGAAGGAAAAAGAAAGAAAAGAAAGAAAGAAAGAAAGAAAGAAAGAAAGAAAGAAAGAAAGAAAGAAAGAAAGAAAAAGGAAGAAAGAAAGGAAGGCAGGAAGATATCACACACACTCATTTTTGTGGAGGTGGGTCAAATATGGCAGCCTCATTGTCCAGTAGAAACTTAAAATCTGAGTTCAACGCAGCTATGTTTAAATTTTTAGCCTCTTCTTTCAGCCCCATTAGTAGTGGATGCTCTCCTAGACCATCAAACAGATAATGAAACCTCCCTCCCTTTATACCCAGACACCCTCTGTTCCCATCTTTTGTATATACTTTTCACCTAATTAAACAACCCCTCATCCTTAAGCCCTAGACCAGCTGGAAATGACTCAGCACAGTTTCCTTTACACTTAGATGCCTTTCCTCTAGAAGCAGCTTTTGTGTCCTCTGCCAAATACTTGTCATACCCTATGGTATGAGGACTTGTGACCAGGGACTGCCTTCTACTGAATCCCACACCCTACCCAGTCTCTGATGCTAAGCAGGTGCAAAGTCAATGAGGACTACATGTGATTAAATAAGTTTCTCTTTGTGGCTCAGAAGGCACATGCAGGAGCTGTCCCTGTCCCTGCTTCTTTACTATCTGCAGAGCAAACCACTAGAATATCAGCATCAGAAGCAGCATCACATAGGTATAAGAAGTGTGCTGATCTCTTGGCACGGTTTCTTTCTTATTAGACTGAATGTCCGTTGGAGGATAACCACTGTACTAAAATTTGGGTCCTCATTGTCTTGCTCTGTGAATACAGTTTATCATGTGTAGCAAGTAATTTTGGACAAATTGATGGACCAATAAACAATCATAAAATCCAAATGAATAGTCCCTCCAAATTTCAAGACCCAAAGACGGGCTACCACCAGTTCTGGAGAGTCAGTGGAGGATAGAAGTAATCGCAATGGGGTTAATGTCTTTGTGGCATTTTCTACAGAATCATATACCCAAACCTATCTTGTTTCATAACTAAGAATTCATTCACTAACACATTGCCTGGTTGACATGCCTTTAAATTGAACTAAACGCACTAAACTCACCAAAGCAGAGCCCCAAAATGGATATCCTGAGAGAAATATAAAAGGAAACCTTGGGTATGGGTTTACCAAGGTGAAAAGGAAAACAGCTCCAAACGAAAAGTTCATGATTCCAAACAGGATCTGGACGGTCTGCAATAGAGGGGAAAGTCAGCTCAGAAGAGGCGCAGCGGGGGAGCCCATTCTGCTTACATCTTTACTTCCAGGATTTGGCAGTTACCCTCTTTATAGTCTAGGGAAGGATAATGGATGTCCCTCTTCAATAGTCCTTGGTGTTTTCTTAATCCGTCCATCTGATAATTACTAAGAGGAAAATGAGTCTACCCCACTGCTCCCAAGCTCAAGGTCAGCTGGTGCTATGAGAGGAAGCTCTCAGGCCCCACTCTCTTCTTACTAAAACCCCCAGTTTTTCAGCACATACATGTGAATGTCGACTTTAAATTACTGAACCAGTTTGGCCTCAAGGGGACGCTCAGGAAAATCCTCTTGGAGGTGAGTAATCCTTTGAGCCTTCTGAAGCAGGGCTGCATCCCCAGGCCTGGAGGTTTCCTCATGGGTTGTTCTTCATTCTCCCTGCGCTATGCTTGTAAGGCACATCCTGGACGTACTGTGAATGCTAGGCAGGGGCCCAGGGGTGCTAAAGAAGCCTGGCGAGAATGACAAGAAGAACAGAAGGTGTATGACCCAGGGGTTATGTCCTCTGTCGTCTTTTTGCTGTACTTCCTCAGTCTGGGTGAGCTCTTTTGCTGCAGTACCAACATTTGGTGGCTGAATCCTAAGAGGTATGGTATGCATATCACATCTGGATGATTATCCCTCTTGAATGTCCCACTACCGACTCATATTCCATATGTCCTAGAATACGGGTTCGCTTTACCCCTCTAAGCTTGATTTTCTGACTTCTTTGTCTCTGTTGTTGGTGCTGTCATCCTTTTAGGCCTGGGGCCATCAGGTCTCCTGTCCTTTTCAAGTTCCCTGATTGCAACAATCCCAAAGTAGCTAACTTTCCTAATATCTCGTCTTGTGAAATCATGCATACTTCAGCCAGCAAGATGGCTCAGCAGGTAAAGGTGCCTGACACCAAGCCGGACAATCTGAGTTTGATCCCTGGAACGTGTGTGGTGGAAGGAGAGAGGGGACTCCTGAAAGTTTTCCTCTGACCTCCACACATATGCTGTGGCATGCATGTGACCATATATGCACAATAAACAAACAAATACAAGTAAAATATAAACTAGCAATCTGACAGAGGAATTACAAAAACACACATATTTAATTTTGATCCCATTTTCCTGCTGTAGGAAACATTGGGGTGCTTATTTAATAATTTTATGTTTTTTCCACATGTTGGTGGATTTGTAGAGAGAGAGAGTCCTCCATTGTCTATCATCACCCAAAGCACTCGTTGGCTTCTTTCACTTAACAACATGAAAATGAGATTCTTTATGCTTCCTCTTGGCTTGTTAGCTTATTTCTTGTACCACAGAACACTGTTCTGCTGTATGGGTATATTATGACTAATTTATCAGACAGATTAATTCTTTTTATTTTTAGTCTTCTTAAATCTTTTAGGCCTAGATTGACCCCTCCCAGCTCTCCTCTACCACCCCTCCCGATGCTAGCGTGCTTCTGTTTCCCCTCTTCATGTATATTTGTTGAACTTCCATCATTTAATCAGAGTCTGGGTTCAATGTCCACTTCATTGTGAAATGTGCTCATCCCCTATTCATTGGCGATGACTGTTCCAGCTCTGGGGCTCCCACTCTCATTATCACCATTGATGCTCTTACTAAATGCTCCATTGAAATATCATTCTCAATATTTTCATGCTATTATTGTGTTCGAATGACACCTTTCTTTACCTCAGTGAGGAATAACTAGCTTGTATTTGTTTCTGTGAGTACAGAAGCTAACATAGTTGCTCGCACCTAGTTCCATTTCTGTTAAAGTAGTATAAACTATTTCATTCGAGACTGGACTCCATTGTATTTGAAGAGATGCTGAAGCAGAAGTGCACTAGTGGTCTTCCACATGCCACAGGATGGTCTTTCTTATTTCTGTTTTTTTTTCAGAAAAAGATTATTTTCTATTTTCCATTATGGGAGGCTGGAGTTCAAAGGACAGCATATTCTCAAAGATATTGGTGACATTGCAACCTCAAATATACCTGACTACCTCTCACCTGCCCATTGTCTTAAGAAAGGTTTGGTAAATAAAATTAGTATTTGTAGCATGAATGAGTTGATTGATGGAGAAATGAATGTTTGCCAGGACCCTACCTCTAGACAAAGAACTACAGGCAACTAAGGACTTCTGAGAACGGGAGAATTAGTCTTTTCTAAGGATAAGCGTCCCCCCACCTCTGTGAATTGATTATCCAAGTACAAGTGGTCAGCAACACTATCAGAATCAGTAGGTTGTATTTATATATTTGTGTATTATACATATATGTAACAATAACAAATAAAAAGAGACCACAGTTTTCAGAGAGAACAATGAGGGAGGGAGCATAAATTAGGTTGGAGGGAGATGATGTACTTATATTTTTAATTTAAAAAATAAAAAGAGGCTATTCTGAAAATCTTTATACTTATATGCATAAATAAGCCTATAATGTGCATGTTATATAAAGCTGTGGGTTCTGAGCTTTGTTTGAGAAGATATAAATTACATGTTGCAGTATGCTAAGATAGAAAATCTAGCTTAACTTCTTGATTGCCATTTTTCCTTTTTCTCTCTGAAATTGACTAGAAAAACCTAAAAGATGGTTAGTTTGGAGGCTTTGGTTATTAAGAGTCCAGGAACATTGAATTTATTCATCTTGTATTTTCCTGTTCACAGAATCTTGTGCATAATTTATATAGAAGTCCAACCCACACTTCCTGAATTGAGTGGAAATGAAAGCCGGAGTTTATTCCTATTGGAGAATGTGTGCCACCAGATACTTTCTCACTCCCCCTGCCCCCTCCACCCGGTGTAGAATATACACAGGGACACATTTTACTTACCCCTAAGATCTTCAATTTTCTAATAAGGATTTTCTGCACTCGTTTTTGGGAGTCATAGGCTGTGGCTGTAAGTCCTGTTGCTTGGTATTCTTGACTGGTCACCTCTGGAGGAAGCACCAGGAACACAGGACTGTGCATATTGTTTGAATCCATGATGGTACGGTTGGTCTTTTCAGGTGGAAGAAAAGGAGCTGGCTGGCACTCCAGTTTAGACCATGTTTCCCTCCTGGACTGAGGCTAGCTAGAGTGCTGGCATTGTTGTGCTTTGGCTTAGAATTATAGAACCATAAAGTCACAGAGTCATAGAATCTCAGGAATGGTCAAGAGCCCAAAGACAGGAGTTAAAGTGCCCACATCTGTGTATTGGATTGCAGAAGCTGACTAGTGGTCTTGATTTGGTCAGAAGACACTGTGTCCTTGGGCAAGTCACATAGCCTTCTGTTTTTACAAATTCCATATATATATTAACCTGTGAAATCTTTTAGTTCTCAAATTTCCAGTTTTTCTATTTCAGATGTAGAGAGGACAAAACCTTTCAGGCACACACCTTATACATGTTACCTGTCACTTAAAAGATACTTTTTGCAACCTCGTTTTAGTAGCTTTATGTTATAAACCACCCCAAAGCACAGTGGCTTCAAAGAACTACAATTTTATTTTGTGGACCCTCTGCCACTTACACTGCTGGCACTGTTCTATTAATCCTCGCCAAGTTTTCTCACATATCTGTGGTCCACTCGTAGATTGTGCAGGGTTAAATGAGTGAGGATGGCATCAGTCATGCATCGGATAGTCGGAGACTTTTTTTTTCAGGACAATATTGCCCTTCAGACTTCTTCTGAGTCATTTGCTAGTGTCCCATTCATTAGCCTAAATTCTGTAGGCAGTTTAGACTCAAGTAATAAGTAGAAATGGACTACTTCATTAGTGGATCTGGCATGTCAAACTGCAAGGACATAAATGAGCAAAAAAAAGAATTTGTTTATTTTTTTAAGGTGTGTGCGTGCGTGTGCGTGTGTGTGTGTGTGTGTGTGTGTGTGTGTGTGTGTGTGTGTGTGTGTGTGTGTGTGTATGCCACTTATGGAGGCACCTATGGAGGTCAGAAGAAGTCATTACATTTCCTGGAGTTGGAGCAAGAGGCAATTTTGAGCTTCCCAATGTGGATCCCCTGTAAGAGTACTCTTAACTACAGTTATGAGTACAGTTACAGAGATGCCCCACTGTGGGATATATACATATACATATACATACACATACACATACACATATACATATACGTGTGTGTGTATGTGTGTGTTGTCATGCTCTGTTATTCTATTAATCTCATACCTTCCTTCATTGAATTTTTTTGTCAAGACCTGCATCTTACTAGTCAGTTACATCCATATAGCACAGTTTCTTTATTTTGAGTGGACCTTTCTCACATTCAACTTAAGTGAATGTGGATTCCTGCTGATGGTTATCCTTCATGAAAATCATCAGGTATTTGATTCATTTGAGTTAAGTAATCTTTGGGCCAATGTAACGGCCCAGTTGTAATGGACTGTATGAACTTCATTGCCCATATTTTAGCTTTGCTGTAGGCCTTTTCAAGTTTCTCTGTTTTTCTCCCAAGCATGGTAACATTCTTATAACTGCTTGATAAGTGGGGAAATAACTTGTTTATTATGTTTTAATTTATCCAAGCATCTACTCATGATGCACCACAGAATTCAATCGTTGGAGCATAAAAATCTAGAATTAATCCTAAGCCTTTTAAAAAATAGTTAAATTGTTTTTTCTTTGAGAATTTCATGCATGCATCCAATGACCAGTTCTATGTCTCATTCTCAAGTAAGTTTATTTACTAGTTTTAGGGTCGAGATAAAGTTACTAACTTCTGCGTTCATATTAGTTTATATATTTATTGAAACATGACATGTCTTATTTGGAGTAATGACTATATAATAAGGCTATTTTGAGCGAATTATGTTCTTGGTATGTAAATAAATTTTAGTAATAATAAGAAAATACTATCAGGCAGCATTACTTCTCATATTATTTCTGTTCTGACCATGACGGTCAAATATGTTGTCTCACTTTACTTCCATAGTTCATTTTGGCTATTTCTTTATCAGCTGAGCTTAACCATAAGAACCTTGGCAGTACCACACTGAGTTACTACAAATGTTATTGTCTTGTATTTCTCCATTGTAGGCAGTTGCTTGCTAATAGACATCTCAGGTGTGTTCACACATGGATGGCATAGCGGATCATAGCCTTAAATAGCTTCCTATATTCTTACGTATCTTATTTCCTGATATTACAAAACCTCATCTTTTCATGAGAGGCCCTCTAATCTTTTTTTAAAATTAATTAACCTATTTATTTTACATCCCACCACAACCTCCTCTTCTCCCACTCCCTCCTCCCCTCCCCTCTACCCTCCCTCAATCCACCCCTCTCTCAGAAAGGGGCAGGCCTCCCATGGGCATCAACAAAGCATGACATATCCAGGTGCTGTAAGACCAAGCACCTCCCCCTATATGCAATGCAGGCTGGGCAAGGCAATTCAATATGAGGAATAGGTTCCCAAGAGCCAACCAAAGCACTAGAGACAGTCCCTGCTCCCATTGCCAGGAGTCCCACAAATAGACCATGCTATACAACTGTCATGTATATGCAGAGGGCCCAAGTCAGTCCCATGCAGGCTCCCGGTTTGTTGGTTCAGACTCTTTGGGTTCCCATGAGCCAGGCTAGTCATTTCTGTGGGTTTTCCTGTGATGTCTCTGACCCTTCTGGCTCCTACAATCCCTCTTCCCTCTCATCATCAGGACTCCCCAAGCTTGGCCCAAGGTTTGGGTCTCAGAATCTGCCTCTATCAGTCACTGGGTGAAGACTCTCTGATGACAACTGGAGTAGTCACCAATCCGATCATAGGGGGTGGCCAGTCTAGGCTCTGCATCCACTACTGCCAGGAGTCTTAGCTGGGAGGCCCTCTAATCTTAAAGTGGTTTACGAATGATTGGATACTATCTTTTAGGCCTTAATGTTCCCCCAAATCAAACCTTTTGTCATAGTTAGGGTTTCTATTGCTGTGAAGAGACACCATGACCAAGGTGAGGTGGCTGGCTTACAGTTTTAGAAGTCAGTCCATTATCATCATGGCAGGGAGCATGGTGGCATGCAGGCAGACGTGGTGCTGGAGAAGGAGCTGAGAGTCCTAATCTTGTGGGCAACAGGAAATGGTCTATCTGTCACACTGAGCAAAAGGGACCTCAAAGCCTGCCCCCACAGTGACACACTTCCTCCAACAAGGCTACACCTACTTCAACAAGGCCACACCTCCCAGTAGTGCCATTCTCTATGAGCTTATGGGGTACAGTTACATTCAAACTACCACACCTTTATTTTATCTTGTTGCCAATTATTCTTGGGAAGTTATGATGATGCAAGTGGTCAGACCGAGTTCAAGGCTGTTTCTCCGATTCCCTTTCTGGGTGGTTGTAAGAAAGGCTCCCAAGTCCTTTCACTTATATCATACTGTAGATGGAACTTATTTTTCTTTGCTTTGAAATATCTTGTCTTTATATTGAAAAATGCTCTCCTTCCAAAGACCCATACCCAACCACAGAGAGCAGGACAGTGACAGGTGTCCTCTGCCTGGGGGCCTGCAAGTCTTCTGGGTGTCATTTGCTATTTAAATTATAAGCATCGACTCTAGACCTTATCCCATGAAGGACAGTGAAAAATCCATTATTTCTCCCAATATTTTCAGCTATCTTGGGGAGTAACAAGGAGACACGAGAGGGAGAAAGCAACTGGGGTTCCTGTTTTGCTGAGTTGTCCTGGGCTGTTGTCTTGGCTTTTACGGACATCTCTTCCCCCGTGTTGGCACTGTACTGAATCCTCATTACCTTCAAGTAGTAATGATGCAGCATCTCAAGATGTATAGACAATTTTAAAATAAAGATTGCAAACATTTTTGTAGAACCCACAAGGGCAGGCACTAGGGAGTTCCCACTGGATGTGTCTTCTGACTTACACTCTCTAATTCCTATTCATTGGCTTATCAGTATGTCCATACAGCCTCTCTCTCTATAGTGTTCCCTTTTTGACTACCAGGGATTTTTCTGTCAGAGACAAAATGGTATTTGATTTATGAGGTCAGATGATTTTTTTAAAATACCCTTGCTCTTTCTACCATCTAAGAAGAAATATAAAAGGTTTGTGTTAGTATGTTTGGGCTGTCATAACCATGTGCCTGAGGTTGGGGGATTTAAACAACACAATTTCATTTATGATTCTAGAAAGTGGAAAATATTAAATCTGGGTGCCAGTGAACTTAGATTTTTGACTTTTTTAGATTAATACAACTACAACATGTCTCCCTTCCCTTTCCTCCCTCCAATCTCTTCCATATACCCTCCTTGCTCTCCTTCAAATTCATGGTTTCTTTTTTCACTAATTGTGAATAAATACACATATATTTCTAAATATAACCTGTTCAGTCTTTATAATGTTATTTGTATGTATATGCTTTCCTGACTAACTATTTGTCACTAGACAACCATTTGGTATGCCCTTCTCTGGCAAAGACCTCCCACTCCCAGCTTTCCTCAGTTGCCTGTAGTCTTTGTGTAGGGTTGAAGGATCATGGGCTTTTCCTCATCCAGTCTGGCATGTCAACTGGTGTCATCCTCATTCAGTTGATGTTTGGGCAGTCATGTTGGTAAGACTTTTTGGATACATATTCTGATGTTATTACAAGACACAATCTCACAGAAAACTCCTTGATTTTGTGGCTCTTATAATCTCTCTGCCCCTCTTCCACAGTGTTCCCTGAGCCTTATGTGTGGTTTTGGTTTGTATATTTTTTCCACTAATACTGTGCTCTACAAGCCTGTACTTTTGAGTCATTGTGGTTTTCTGTAGTGGTCTCAGTCTGTTGCAAAGTTTCTTTGATGTGGGGTGAAGACTACGCTTGTCTGTAATGTGGAACTGACCTGAATGTCCCCTCCCCGAGGCCTAGTTTTCATGGCACCAGAAGGCACCATGCAAGCTTCCAAAGGAGGGAGGCAACCAACAGCCCTACCCACCCACAATGCCTATGAAGCACATCAACCAGCATGGCACGATAACCCTAAGGGTTTAATAGTGGCACACAAATCTTGGTGGAAAACAAAAGTTCTATAGTTATACTGAAACCCATTCTACAGGAGAGAAACCATGCCTGGCACCACGAATCTATTTTTCAGTGCTGGTGAAATCATGGTTATTGGAGGATTATCTAAGACCCCTAATTTGTTAAACCAGCATAATCCCTAACAAGAGTCTATAAACAATTGTTCTTATACCTGCAAACTTAGGTTTTTATGATGGCTTTCTTCTTGGCTTTCAGGTGGCTGATTTCTTCTGATGCATTTATATGACATTTCCTTAGATCTCTGGTATCTTTATGTACAGTCTTTCTCTCCCCCTCCTTCCTCCTTTCCCCCTCTCTCCTTCCCTCTCCCTTTGTCTCTCTGCCTCTGTATCTTTGTCTCTGTCTCTCTCTGTATCCCTTTCTTTCTGTGTCTCTGTCTGTGTCTGTCTGTCTGTCTCTGTCTCTGTCTCTGTCTCTCTGTGTGTGCATGTGTGTGTATGTGTGAAAGAGTTTCACAATATAGTCCAAGTTGGCTTTAAGCTCACTAGCCCAGGCTGGCTTTGAACTCATAATTCTTCTTCATACTCTTGAATGCTGGAATTGTAGGCACGTACCACTGTAGAAGGGCACTATTCCCACCATGAGGGTCACACTCTTCTATTTTCATCTGAACCTAGTATCTTCAAAAGCTCTATTTCCAATGTTATCACATTAGGACTTAGGACTTCTGCATTAGAATTTAGAGGTAGAATATTTCAGTCCAAAGCAAAGAGATAATTTGATTAATACTGTAAAGCATATCTATCACCTTTTTGTCATCTATCTAATAATGATTTGTTCATGCAGACATCTATGACATTTTTGGTCTAAGAAAAGCTTCTGTGGAACAGAATAACCTTCCTTTCCTGATGTTCACTATCTAAAAAGAATGACTCTTACAGATGTTTTTCTGGAGTTTCTAAATAAGCTCTCCAATTTCATCATATAAAAAGATGCTAATGAGTCTCTTTTTAGTCATAGAGCACTGTTAGTCCATGGCATGACCTAGCTTCAGATTCTTACAAAATTTCCCCACCTACTATTCCTAACTAAGCATCTATATACAAGAGTCTGGGTGACACAGCTCATGATACTTGAAAACACTTTTCAGAGTGCATAAATATAATGAAGTTGATTGCTGCCACGTTTGTGTTTTTTTTTTTTTCTGGGCAAAGTAGGGAAAGAAAGGGAGGAACTCGGGGATTTGAGTTTCTAGATCAAGCATAATAGACAAGACCCACTGCTGTGTGTTCTGAAGGATCCTCTTCTCATCTGTAGCTACAGAGTTAAAGCTGCTGAAAACTAAGTGCAGAATCTCATTTAGCAACTGGCTGGATTACAGTGCAAGGTGAATTCTCTGTCCTTCAGCAACACTGCTATTGAAGCGGGGACATTGGTAAGAGCAAGTGGGATTCTAAAGTTGGAATGGCTAAGTACAGTAAGACTTGGCAAATCTGAAAACGCTGGACCCTAAATTCTGACGAGTCTATCATTTTCAGGAAAGGAGGTCTCCCTGTCCCCAATGGGGCCTGGCTATCTGTGTGAATAATCCCTTGCATGAAAAAACTAAAACGATAGCCTTTTCTGAAGGAGCTGCTGTGTCAGACAATCCTTCTCATCAGGACACGACTCTACCCACTGCCATTTTTTCTTTATTCTAACTAGACTTAACTGACCACAGGCCCCAACTTTATGGTGGCTCAGGAAGCTTGTTAGACTACATAAAAAGTACCTGAGATCCAATGTTATGTGCTTCCAAAATTAGCCCTTACCCTTAGTATCTATTTCCATGTTTGTTCTTGGGGGTTCTGTGTTTACAGATTAGAAAGTTCAGGTACACATACATGCAAAGGAAACACTGTGCAGCCGAGTAAAATGCAAAGCATCAGAGCTGACAGAAAAGCAAGATTTTATCAAAGACATCAAAGAGAAAAAGAATTCGAGTAGTCCAATTGGCAAGAGAGAGGAGGGATTATATGAGCAAAAGATATTGAGACCATTATTGGAAAAAGCACAAGAACAAATAGCCAAAGTAGCAGAAACACATGAACTGTGAACCAATAGCTGAGGAGCCCCCATGGAACTGGACCAGGCCCTCTGGATAAGTGAGACAGTTGATGAGCTTGAACTGTTTAGGAGGTCCCCAGGCAATGGGACCAGGACCTGTTCTTGGTGCATGAGCTGGCTTTTCGGAACCTAGGGCCTATGCTGAGACATTTTGCTCAGCCTTGGTGCAGGTAGGAGGGGACTGCCTCAACTAAATCTACCAGGCTGGGCTGACTCCCCAAGGGAGACCTTGCCTTGGAGGAGGTGGGAATGGGGGGTGGATTGGGGTGGAAGGCTGGGGGGTGGGAGGAGGGAGGACAGTGGAATCCATGGCCTATATGTTAAATTAAATTAATTATAAAATAAAAATATTTATAAAAAAATTTGAAAACTGTGGTTGGCTTGGAAGACAGAGAGTAACTGACAGTTTTTTAACACAATTCATTTGGCCAGAGAAGGTGCAATTGGCTCCCAATACTTACAAAGCTGTGAGTGCAGGTGTGTGAGAGAGAGAGATCTGCAGCTTCCTTCAGTACAGTCCACTTTGCCATATTTTCTATTATAATATGCACATGGCCACCCTTCCCTGACTTCTACTCTTCCATCTCTAGCTATGCTTTCTCTTTCACCAAGTATTGGACACCAAACCTGGTGCATATATCTTCAACACAAATGTGGGGAGAAAAATATTAGCATTATGGAGAAATAGATCCATTTAGTAATAAGGTGTGAGATGAAATTGACGATCATACATTGAAATACTAAAATTGATGGCGAAAGTTTTACAGTTTAGATGACATTTATTTCTTCACTCCCAGAAGGTTTTGATAAAGTCTTAACATTTGGCTTGTTGTTACTTTGCTTTTAAAAGGAACGAGTTCTTTGTAGGTCCTACATGCCCTTTACTCTGGTGAGTGAATTAGACAGCAAGCGCAGGTGGGAAGACAGGTTAGGGAAGAATCAACCGCTTCATTCTCATCTGGCTCCATTATCTGGGATCTGTGGTTTTTGGTTAGATAAGCATGTTAGTCTGAATCCTCAGATTGAGGTTGATCTCTCTGACAACACGAGGAAGAAGTAGCATTCAGATCTTTGGATGAATTTGAACCGGGTGGTGTACTGTTCTGCACCTCTTGCTCTGAAGCTATATTGGATAAACAGGTTACATATGTGTATGGAACCAAGCTCTGACAAGAAGCAGGATAATTATCTGGCCTCATGTCTTCTGACTGCTCATCTTTTGGTTTCTGGCATGTATCTTCTGTGTCTCCAGGTTCTCTGTCTCTTGTTTGTATATCATCTGCATACGTATCTCCTCTTACAACACTAGATTCAGAGTCTTGTTGGTCGTTACCTTGACACAGACCTACTTGAAATATAAAGTTATGCAATTGGTGATCTTGGGTGTATCGGACTATGGTGCTGCGGGGTTGGATTTCTTGGTATAGTGCCCTTTGCCTTAAGGATTCTCTGTCTAATAGCTCTTGGGATTCCCAGTCTAGGGAAGGATGTATTTTGAACTGCCATTCTTGTGCTTTCCAATCTTTGTTTCTCCAGCCTTGACTTCTCCAGTCTTGGGATCCCAGGCTAGCAGGCTGCCAGGATGAAGATGACCAGTATGAACATGACTTTTCTGTGAACTGAAAGCTTTGGGAGTCCCAGTCCTCACACGACTGCAATGGGACTCTCTTTACTAGCACTTGTTGTCTTTGTTGCCAGTTTGAGGACTGGCTCTTTAGGGCTTTCTGCTCTTGGGGCTGCTGGCCTTCAGCTTGTTGAACTTGAGCTTGTTCTTCTGGAGGTTGCTCTTTATTAGACTGCTGATCTTCTTCCTCTTTGTTATTAAGCTGTTCTTCTGGGTTTAGTTCCTCTACAGATTTTTGGTCTTTGCTTTGCTTATCTTGGGATTCTTGTACTGGGACCTCCTCCTCATCTGCCTGCTGCTGACCAGCTTGCTGTAAGAATTGCTCTGAGGTTTGAGTACTTGCATCTTGTTTCTCTGTGGTGTGCTTCTTTGGGGATAGCCAGGCTTTGATTTGCTGATCTATGGATTTCCGTCTTGAAGTTTTCCTTTGTAAGTCTACAGAATGTCTCCTTGGGGGTTTGTCACCTTTGATTTGCAGGTCCAGGGAATGTCTCTTGGGATAGACTTTTTCATGTGTGCCTTTCAAGGATAAAGAAAGTCTTCTTGGGGTTTTCTTGCCTTTATCAGACTTCCATTCTTGAGTCAACTCCATGACTTCTGTTCGAATGTCCCTATAAATTATTTCTGGATGTTGCTGGCTTTGAACTTGAGTGTTTGGTACTTGAAGATCTGAGAATGACATGTCATGGGGTGCTGAATCTTGGGTTTGTGTGCTCTGGGATAGTTTGTCTTGAGATAGTACATCTTGGTATTTCATATCCTGGGATGCAGTATCCTGGGAGGGAATCTCTTGTGTGTCTTGGGATGGTATGTCTAGAGTTAGTGTATCTTGGTATGGAGTTTCTTGAGATGAGGTCTTTTGGGATAGAGTATCTTGGTATGCTTCGGATGGAGTCTTTTGGGATAGGATATCTTGGTATGGGGTTCCTTGGGATGGGATATCTTGGTATGCTTCGGATGGAGTCTTTTGGGATAGGATATCTTGGTATGGGGTTCCTTGGGATGGAGTCTTTTGGGATGGGATATCTTGGTATGCTTCGGATGGAGTCTTTTGGGATAGAATATCTTGGTATGAGGTTCCTTGGGATGGAGTCTTTTGGGATGGGATATCTTGGTATGCTTCAGATGGAGTCTTTTGGGATAGGATATCTTGGTATGGGGTTCCTTGGGAAGGAGTCTTTTGGGATGGGATATCTTGGTATGCTTCAGATGGAGTCTTTTGGGATAGGATGTCTTGGTATGGGGTTCCTTGGGATGGAGTCTTTTGGGATAGGATATCTTGGTATGCTTCAGATGGAGTCTTTTGGGATAGGATATCTTGGTATGGGGTTCCTTGGGATGGAGTCTTTTGGGATGGAGTATCTTGGAATGACATGTCTTTAGTTAGTATATCTTGGAATGACAGCTCTTGGTATGGAGTCCCTAGGGATAGGGTCTCTTGGAATAGTAGGTCTTGAGTTAGTGTATCTTGGAATTGCATGTCTTGGGATGGAGTGTCTTGGGATGGAGTTTCTTGAGATGGCATGTCTTCCAAAGGCAAGTCTTCAGATGTCAGATCATAAGAAAAATGGGATGATGGGGGTTTAGATCGTAAAACTTGTGTTGACAGACCTGCCATTAATGTTTGGGATGATAAAGTGCCAGGTAACAAAGGGAGGAAATCATGTGAGGATGGAGTTTTAAGAGATGCAAGTGACACATTTTGGTTGTCAAGCAATTTGGGTTGCAGATCAGAGGTTTGACGTGTAATAGCTCCTAGGTCCTCATCTTTCAGGTTATTGCTTCTAGACTCTTTCGGAGAAGGCATATTTTCTGAAGACTTTGGTGTTAATGGGGGAGGTAGAGCATCCAGTTTAGTTTTTTCCTCTTGTGGGAATTGATGAATAGTCTCCTGTTCATCTGGAACACGCATAGAAGATGTACCCTTATCACTTTTCTGTGGGATATTTTTGGGAGCTGTGGGAGCCGAAGGATTTCTTGAGACTCTTAACTTGAAGAAAGCATAACCCCCTAAGAAAATGGTTTTTATGTTTGAAGCTGTATTACCACTGGGAGATTTTCCTTGAAACTCAAATTGTAATTGATTATTTTCTTCTGGCACAGGCTGTTCAGTATTTTGAGGAACTTCTGAAGGAAAAAAGAATACAGCCTATAATACCAAGGGGAAAGCAGAGTGTTAATAGGCCAGAATTGTATTTATGTCATTTCCTTACTGTATTCTCATATTATCTTTCCTGGAGATGAAGTTCTCCAGCCTTTCCTGTCTGCTCTTAGATTTGGGTGATGTCACTATCCTTATGTCCTAGATACTCAACAAAGGGATTTTACCAAAATTGCCTCAGGATTTTTTCTATACTGAATAATATTAAGTTTTCTAAGACATTTAAAGTATCCAGTTAATATTCACACACAAAGCCTACTATTTGATTTGTTAATTACTTAGATAAACTGAGTGTTGGTGATCAAAGACAATCAGAATTTACCCTTAAAGTGATAACAATTATAACCAGGCTAACATATGAGTAGATAATGATAAAAATCACCTAGCACTATGCCTATTATTGAAATAGTTACTAGGTTCTGAGGAAGAAGCTAATTTACAGTATCATTTAAAAGAATAATATATTCAAGAAAAATGTCTACCCAAGGAGATGAAAGACTTCTATGCTGAAACCTCCAAAATACTTCTGAAAGTATTTGTAAGAACTAGACAAATGGAGATCTTCTCCATGTTTGTTTATAACAAGGCTTAAACTTGTTTAAAAAATCTATGCTATGCAAAAAATATACAGATTCAATGCTATCCATGTCAAAATACAAAAAAGCTTATTCTCAACATAAAACACAATTCAAATTTATTTGGAATCTTAAGGGGTCCAAAATAGCAAAACCATTTAAACAGAAGAAAAATATTTGGAGAAATAATAGTTGCCAATTTTGAAACTTCCATAAAGTTATGGTAAGATGGATAGGTAGATAGAATAAAGAACCCAGAAGCAAACATAACATAAATAGTTCATTGAGTTTCAGCAGTGATGCCAGGATCATTCTATGGGAAAGGACAGTCTTTTTAACAATCAGCACTAGGAAAACTGAATAGCCACATGCAAAGAACAAATTCAACATTTACCCAGTACCATAGATAAACTTAAAAGCCCAAAATGTACACTTTGGTGGGCCCCATTTTCTTTAATTCCTTTGTCCTGGGATGGTGCTGCCCACATTCAGAACAGATTTTACTTACCCTTCCCTTTCTGAAAATAGCCTCAAAGACAAGCCCAGAGGTCATCTAGGCTCTTTGTAATCCAATCAAGATGGACACCAAGATTAACTGTCACAGTTGGAACTGGTGACAATTTCATGGGTAAGACAACACAAGATGGATAGGGAGATGGCTCATTTGGTAAAGTACCTGCTGCCCAGGCAGAAAGACCTGAGTTCAGATGGCCAGAAACCACGTAAAAAGCAAAGCATGACAGCATGTTCTTGTGACCTTGGGAGCATGGAGATGGGCTAGGCAGATCCATGAACCCCAGGTTCAGTGAGAGTTCCAGCTTCAAAAACAAACATAGACTCATCCAATTGCTGACCCTGGGCACTCACAATGTGCATGAATGCACATGTACACACCACATATACAATATCACAATATACTCAAGTATGTAATAACAAAAGAAAGAAAAGAATACATAAATCAGATTTGATCAATATATAGCTTCTGTATATTGAAGATACTGTCCAGGATGGAAAAAATAATAACAATCTGAAGGGACAGAGTGGGATGAAATAGTTATAGACAATATGTCTAATAAGAAATTACCAAACTGTACATATGGAAACACTACAATCCAACAATAACAACAACAAAATGAACAACCTAATTAAGAAGTGAGCATGGGACTATAAAAGCTCTTGTTCAAAGAAGATCTATTCCTACTAATAGGTGCATGACTAACCCTCAGGAACATCCTATTAACCTTTGGGATGGTGGGATTGAACTGTATCTTGATTGTGATGATCCTTAAATAGATGTGTGTCATTTGTCAAACTTATTGCACAGTATACTTAGAATTGGTGCGCTGGATTGTTTGAAGTTAAAAGCAAGCGAGGATGTAAGCAAACACTGCCAAGCACATTCCAGACTGCTGTTGTAACTCAGAAAGCAAGGCCAGGAACTGCACTACACAAGTCAGAATCCTGTGTTGTATCATACTGGAGATGTTAGTTAAACTCTCTGTTAAGCTTTAGTTCATTTGATGTAGAATAAGGGTGTTGATATAATATTAACATAATTATTAATTTGGCACCAAGCAATTATAATAATGTTTGACATTATAAACAATCAGTAGGGCTATAAGTTCCCAATGTCACAGTACTATGGGTTTTCCACAAAGTCCCATATTTCCTTTTTTTTTCCCCAGGAAGATAAAGAATTATATATTAACAGAGATAGATGACTGAGGACAGTAGATAGGACAAGAAAGGAAAGTAAGTTACCTGAAAAAGTAGAGTGAGCATCAGTCTTAAGCTCAACCCCCTCTGACCTTCCTAATTTAGGAGTTTCAGTGTATTAGCTGAGCATACTGCTTCTGCACGGTAATAGAGGTCAATGTGGGGTGATGTTCTCAGTGTGGATGCAGTAGTACCAACCTCTGTGCTATTTGTACCCTTAGAGGGAGTATGTGGGAGGAGAGAAGAAAATCAGGATCGCTGGAAGCTCCTAGGCAAGCTAGCCTGGAGTATGCAGTAGTGAACATCAGGTGAGACATTTTCTCGAAACAACATAGAAAGTGAGGACCAACACCTGAGGTTGTCCTCTGTTCTCCACACTCACACTGTGGCATAAGAGTGCCTGCTTCCTCATACACAGGAACATGTACAAACACACACACACACACACACACACGCACACACACGCGCACACACACACGCATGTGCACGTACACGCATATACTCAGTTCTCGTGACAACCTTGGGCGCACCTCTCTTGAACTGGTCCAGCACCTGCTTCTTAAGGATGCAATAGTCACAGAGATGCTGAACTCTGCTATGGTGATGATTAATAAGACTGACAGAATTCCCTGCAAATAAGGAAGGGAAATAAATTATATTTAGGACAAAAGCAGCATCACTTTAAAAACAGAAGCCAAGAATACTTTACACCCCATGACCGAGTTTGGGAAAACTCATATTCATGCTGTTCTGTAGCTATTAAATATTGCATCATTTCAATGTCTTTCTGGTAAGGAGTGGGCTAAGACAGTCTCTAGAGTAACACAAGGAGAGGGACAGTAGAGAGAAATAGCATTCCTATAAATATCTGCCATTTCATTAAAATAACTTTTTTCAGTGTGGGAATATAGTACCCCAACACCTGCTTTTTCTTCCCTGAGAAAGCTGCTAATGCATATTTTTTGAAGTGAAAGTTTCAGCTATGTATTCACCTCTGTGTCAAATAAACCTGCAAGATGGATCTAGTACCCAGATCTGCATTCTGCCGGCACTACTTTAAGGTAATGTTTTCATTGAGAAGTAAGATGGTGCAGTGTGGTATTCAAAAAAGCTTAAATACTAGAGGCAACACAAGTTGGGCACAACTGGGCCCAAGGTCGCGCTTACACTAGGAAAGTGACTACAGCTCTCCACATCTCAGTTTCTTTGAGCACATGCAAGAGCTTAGGTAACTGCCTTGATGCTGAAGCTGAAGGGTGTCTGTCCTCCCCACTGTCTGTCCTCCCCACTGTCTGTCTTCCCACTGTCTGTCCTCCAGCACTGTCTATCCTCCCCACTGTCTGTTCTCCCACTGTCTGTCCTCCCCACTGTCTGTTCTCTCACTGTCTGTCCTCCCCACTGTCTGTCCTCCCACTGCCTGTCCTCCCCAATGTCTGTCCTCCCCACTGTCTGTCCTCCCCACTGTCTGTCCTCCACACTGTCTGTCCTCCCCACTGTCTGTCCTCCCCACTGTCTGTCTTCCAACTGTCTGTCCTCCCCACTGTCTGTCTTCTCACTGTCTGTCCTCCACACTGTCTGTCCTCCACACTGTCTGTCCTCCCCATTGTCTGTCCTCCAGCACTGTCTGTCCTCCCACTGTCTGTCCTCCCCACACTCTGCTCTCCCCATTGTCTGTCCTCCAGCACTGTCTATCCTCCCCACTGTCTGTCCTCCCCACTGTCTGTCCTCTCCACTGTCTGTCCTCTCCACTGTCTGTCCTCCAGCAGGAGAGAATTGGCCCCAGTCCTTGCAAAACTTCCATCATATGCACTTGGATCAAGTAGAACAGGATTTTATCCTTTATAATTGTTTTCAGACTATCCTTTGGAACCCAAGTCTCATTCTGGAATTTATCTCAGCACACACAAAGAGGTCCTTTAGTTCACTTCAACAGGTGGTTACAGGGATTAAATCATGGGAGATAATTTCCCATGAGTCTACTTCACTTTTGTCCTTACTAGTTCAAATTTTCAAATTCTAGGACCGAAGGCTTCAAGATGTTGCTATCAGAAACAGACTAAAAGCCTAGAGTTTGCTTTGGGGGCAGAGGAAAAGGCTCATTGGAATCTTTGACATGATTGAAAATGGTGTCAGGGCTGGTATGGTGATAGCACTTGCTATTCAGCCTGACACCCTGAGGTTAAGCTTCAGGATCCACATGTTGGAAAGAGATAAAGAACTCCTGCAAGTTCGTCTCTGATGTCCACATATAAGCGGTGGCATTGCAGACTACACACACCTCAAATAAGTACGTGTAAAAAATAATTAAAATAATTATAATGTCATGTATTACTTATACAATAGACTCTTAAAACCTTAACTATCACTAGGGGCTGGAGATAGCTCAGAAATTTTGAAAACTGGCTCTCTCCTGGAGGAGCTGTGTTCAATTCCCAGAACCCACACTACAGCTCATAAACATCTGTAATTCTAGTTCCAGAGCATCCATTGCCATCTTTTGACCTCAGAGAACACTAGGTATGTATGTGGTACACAGTCCCACATTCAGGCAAAACACCTACACACGTTAAAAAAAAGTAAAATAAAAAATCATGTATAATTATATTTCCTGGTAAATTTACCATACTGAGTAAAAATTATATAATTATATAAAATGGCTTATATATAAAAAAAGATTGAAACACTTCACTGAAGTACTTTCTTCCACTGTATTTTGTTTCATACCAATAGAGTAATTTTTTGATTAGTAAAAAGGTAAAATTTAATACAATTGAAGTAATAACAGTTGTAATAGCTAAAACTATTGAGTATTTATACTTTTCCAGGTATTATTTGAAGTAATCCTTACCACAGGTCAGTGAGGCAGCTATTATATTACTATCTCAAGTTTTTTCAAGAGGAAAAACCAAGATGTGGAGACTCTACAATGTTATGCCAAAGTCACAAGCTCCCAGGAGCTAAAAGTAGGGTTAAAAATCAGAGTCTAGGGTTCCAGAACCACCCGTAGTGAAGTCAGGGGTAAAAAAATCAACTCATCATTGTGTCATGGACACAGCCTGGCTAAGGTTACTCAGCCTCTTCATCCAGAATCAGGTCACTCACAAGGAGAAGTGTTCTGCCTACAACACATGTTCCTTCAAGGGAGGGCATCTGACAGAATTTGTGCTGCTGTGTGAAGCTGATGAAGATCAAGGCCATCCCAGCTAACGCAACCAGTGAGCTGAAGATATTCATGGTCATGATTCCTTGTCCCTGGAAAATAGATTTAAAACATGGGAAAGTAAATAAAAACTAAAGGTAAAGACACCTTGCTGGAAATTCTCAGAACTTCTCTAGTTCTAGAGGCCTCATCAGATCCATGTGATTGGAAGACTTGATAAGGTCAGTTCTGACTGGCCAAAGTCAGGAGGCAAAGCCCACTGTAGAATGGGCCAACCACACTGTGCAGTTAATGCTCCTGAAAATGTCCATCTCATCTCAGCACAAACCATCTTTTATAATTTGAAAGGACATGGTGCCTTGGAAAGCATCACAACATGGAAATCAGACTTGATTGTGAGTTCTGCTTTCATTAGGACTTATACCAACTATTTAATCTGTCTGAGTCTTAATTTCTACCTTTAAAAAGGAGAATGCCTTTAGTGTAGTGTTCATTTATTTTCTAAAAACTTAGTGTATACTAAATATGTGTCATTGCCACATTAGGCCCTGGATGTACAGACTCATGGGGGAACTGACAGATCACCATCTGGCTCCCTTGTATTCCCCAGGAGAAGTCAAATGATGACCGACAAAACCAGATGGTTAAAGATGGTGAAATTCAGACTAGTGCTTAAAGTTGCCCTGTTTTGATCTTAGTGCTCCAACATGGGAGGCATAAAAAACTGATCTGCTTAATTCTTTTTAATTTTTAAAATGATTTTATTTCTTTGTTGAGAATTTCATATGTGAGTGTTGTGTTTACATCATCCCCCCACTCCAACTCCAACTTCTCCCATGTTCTGTCCCTTCACTCCTCAAATTCATGGCCTCTTACTATTTCATGATTATTTTTTACATATATGTACATATAAATTTATAATACAACCTACAGAGTTAATTTAGTGTTGTTCATTTGTATGTTTGTTTAGGGCTGAACACTTATAGGAACTGTCAGCATTTATCTCCAGAGGAGCAGATGGAGCATTCATCCCTCTCCCTAGGATTTCACTAGAGTTTGTAACTGTCCCCAAGGAAACTGACAGAGAGCCATGAAAATGGATTCGGTGACTTTGAGAGGAAGCACACAACTCTAGGGTTTTCTGCAATTATTAGATGAGAATAGGAACATTTAAACATCACCATGTCTTTTGTAAGTAATATTTTAATTCTCAAAGTAGCTCTTAGGTAATCTCCCTTCAAGATGACAGAGCAAGAAGAGCCAAGCAGCTCTGACTCAATCCTACAACCGTGTGGCATCAGTGCCACACTTTTTGTCTGGTCCTTGGGCAGGCCTCTCTGTTGGCATTGGAGGTGGGGCTGGAGATAGAAAGTGAGGCTGACAGGGTTCTGGGATGAGTTTTGGTTGAGGTATGGCTTCTCAACTTTGAGACTAGACGTTTTGGTCAGATAATTTTTCTATTGTTAGGAGGCCTTTCCTTGCTTCCATTGTTTTAAAGGGTGTTTAGAGGGGACTGGGGAGACGGCTCAGTAGTTAAGAGCACTGGCTGCTCTTTCAGAGGACCCAGGTTCAGTTCCACATAGTGGCTTACAAATATCTGTAACTCCAGTTTCAGGGGATCTGACACCCTCTTCTGGCCTCTTTGGGCACCAGGTAAAACACTCCTACACATGAAATAAAAACAATAAACCTAAAAAGAAAAAGGATGCTTAGAGACAACCCTGGTTCTTACCCTCTACCTGCCGATAATATACACTACCCAGGTATGATAATCAAAAAATATCTTTGGACATTGTGAACTATTCCCTGTGGAAAGAGAAGAAGCAAAAATCCACTGCCAACTAAGAATCATTTAATTACAGCAATGTAAGATGGTTCCCAAGAGTAACTTTCAGTTTGCTTGACCAGAGAAGTGGGAGAAAGGGAAAGAATGCAGGGATAAATCATCCACAAATGAGTTTGAACCACAAACTTGATGCATAAAGATCTTCCAGAGAAACCCTGAAGCTTAAGGCCAAAGATGCTACAAAAAAAAAAAAGAGATTTGAAATCAGGTAGAAGTCATAAAAACTGCTTACCAGAATTTGTCTTGATTTATCATCGAACACTGAGATGAATCCTGTCAGGAAAAACTGTTCAGAAGACAAGAGGCAATGGTTAACAGGTGATACATCTAATTGGTCTACAACACAGTCTCCTTTGGGTTTTCAAACTTCGGTACTACCCCCTCCCCCCAGCATCTAGTCTCTCTAACCTGAATGTTAAGGAGGAAGGTACTTGTTTTAATTCCATCTAAAGGAATTGGTGTCGGTACTTGGGGACATTTGGGTCTTAGAATCTAAAATCCTTCTGCTGCAGTACAGACATTGGGAAGTTACTGTTGGCATCTTCCTCTCAGTGCCACACAGTATCACCTTCCTTCTCTGGGTAATTGCAACTTCTTTCCAGTTGATTTTCCCAGGATGACTGTCATCTTTGAATTTATTTCCCACTCAAAAACCCATAATGTACTCTAATGAGAACACATTATGAAATTTATTGTCATAGAGCTTAATCCAATTCACATTAGTCTTTATAGCAATTTCTGTCAAGTTCTTAGTAAGTGGTACTCACAATAAATGCTCCCCAGAATGGATATCCTGTGAGGATCACGAGAGGAAATTTTTTGGAGAAAAAGATGAAATTAAATGCTAATATAATCCCAAGGCCCACAATGATCAGAGAAAGCAGAATCTGGATAGCCTGGAAGGAGAAAAATGAACAAGAGATAACAAGAGCCCAGGCCTGTGGACTGCCCCAGACACACTTGTGGCTGCCCACTACCCCAATATAAACATCTCCCATGTCTCCATCATGCTGAGTCCCTCCAAATTTTAATTCTTCACTCTTGTTCTTTACTATTTCTCAGAGTCACCAGTATATCTTGTATCTGATGTATTTGAATTCATGTGTGACTAAACGTAGATTGCAAACTTTGTAATGATAGGCCCCACAAACTACTTCCTTATACCCCTTCCTCCTCTGTGGCACCGAACTCTTAGGATTATCTTCACAATTAGCCTCCATATTGTCAGTGTTAAGTGCAATCATTCCTTGGTTTGCATGGGAAAGTGCGTGGGAGGCTTGGTTCCAGGACCAAATCTGAGGATGCTTAAGTCTCTTATGTCATAATATTTGTAGATAATCTGCACATATCCTCTTCTTTGTACATTTTTTTTCTCAGACAGGATCTCCTGCATTCCAAACTGTTCTCAAACTCACTATGGAGCACAGGATGATTGTAATCACCTTCTCTTGTGCCTCCCCCTCCCAAAGCTGGGATAATAGGCTTGTGTCACCACACCCCTTTCCTTCTGTACACTTTACATGGTCTCCTAGGATGGTAGTATGCGATGTACCATACATACAAACACCAGAAACTTTCAAGCATCATCTGCCTAGGAGTGAACAAAATACTTAATAGAATGTAAAAGCAGGAAGTAGCTTTTTATTGTACTGTCTGTGGAATGGGTACAAGAAAACTAGCTGTACTTGTTCAGTACAGGAGTAACTAAAAAATATTTTCATTCCATGTTGTTTGAGCCTGAGGTTATGCATCCTTTAGACCTATACTCCACTGATGGACTTTGACCTCACCTTCACTGGCTTCTTAGTTCCATGAGAGGCACTGCCATACCCTTGGGTCACTTCCTCAAGAAGATATTTGGAAAAATTACATAGTTTCCTATTTCCCCTGTGTTGGAAATCAAAGATCAGAACTAGCTCCCCATGAAATAGCCATGGGACCTCCCTGGGGTTAGGTGAGTTAGTAGACTAATTAATTCCAAGAGTTACTTAATTCATCACCTCAGAAACATTTCTTCATTGACTGCTGAGAGTTAATGTATAATACAGACTCAAGGCAAACTGTGCATTGCACTTCTAAAGAGATCTTTTGTTTCTCTCTCTCTCTTTTAATCAAAATTCAGGGAAATAGCATGTGATGACTCTTCTCTGGAGGATCCATTTTTTCACAAGCAATTGTCTTAGATGTGCTGCCTTTTAAAAAATATTTCATATGTGTATACAATGTATTTATCGTATTAACCCTTTTACCCTCCTCCCTTCCTCCTCCCATGCTGACCCTTTCTTCTTTCCAACTAGTCGTTAATTTTCAGGTCTTTTTTTTTTTTGATGACTTGCTGACTTTAATTAGAGTTGCTTATATAAGCAGGGCTATGGGATTATTTTTTGGAGCATGAGCAAAACTTATCAGTTACATTTTTGAAGAAAATTGCTGATTCCTTTGCTGTCCCCCACCATCCATTAGTTGTCAATAGCTCCTCTGGGAAGGGTGGAGACTAGTGAGCTCCCTCGACTGTCGAAGGGTACATTGCAGATGAAATGCCAGGAAGGATGGGAGATCAACTCCTTCCCTGAATATTATTGCACAGAATTACCTCTCTGTAGAAAAAAATGGAGATGCGGCCCCTTTCTTCCCTTCTGGGATGGTCCATGATAAGGCAAAACTCACCCCCAAAACTTTTGGCTCCCCCTTCAGGAAATCCAGCAGAGAGTTATGAGGTCTGTAGGGAAAGGCAGTCAAGACCGTTTCTTCTGGATCTATAGTGATGACATGGGTCCTTCTTTTCTCCTCAGATGGTGACGCCATGATTCAGTGGCAGAGCTCTGTTAGGGGAAGTAGTGAAAGGATATTGTAGCCATAATCATGATGTATTTCCCCCCTACGGCCACATGGAGTCCTCCGCAATGAGCCCGTAGCAATTACATAGTACTAGAACCACAGAATCCCAGTCATTGAGTCATAGAATCTGAGAATTCTAGAGTGTACCAGCCCTCTCGATTCTCACAGAGGAAACCTGGAAAAGTTACTATTATCAGCTTGCTTAAAAAGCATGTAGTAAACACAAAATTTGATAGATGGTAACCACAAAACAAGTGCCTGTATCTGTATTAATATATATACACATGTATACATATACACATACATACATACGATACGTGCACACATATATTTCACAATTATGCTCTTGTCTCTACCAAATACTAATTATAATTATACATGGTGTAGAACTTTGTTTTTCAAGACCAATCTTTTATATTTATGTATTTGTTATGATTTCAACTGCTAAATCACAGAGGTAAGCAGTTTAATAAGGCCAAACAACATATGCAAGAATCCTCTCAGCTATTTCCTCGCTTGCAGCAATCACAAATACCAGGGTTTCTTAACTCTTGCATGCTGTTGTTTGGACCCACTACAACTCTTGAACTTTCATGGATTTGCTTAGGACACATAAAGGAACGAAGCCTTTGGCACATCTGCTATGTCCCAGGGACTGTGTAAGGCACTTCGCTTCCATGTGCACTGCAGTGGCACATCTGACAATGAGCAGTGCTCAAACCGAGAAGCGGAATGGCCCAACTGCCAGAGGATAAACACCGGGCATGGGTGAAGGAGGCTGTCCTTCTGTCTCCAAAGCTTGTGTTTGTCCTGTTCAGCCATTCAGCCATACCTCCATCCTTTTGCAAATGGAATTTCCTTCTTTTAGGAAAAATGTTCTTGTTTAACAGCATCTCTTTTTTTTTTCTTTTTTTTTTAAATTTATTTTAATTTATTTTGCAATACAATTCAGTTCTACATATCGGTCACGGATTCCCTTGTTCTCCCCCCTCCCGTCCCCCTCACCTTCCCCCCAACGCCCCCACCCCCATTCCCATCTCCTCCAGGGCAAAGCCTTCCCCACAGACTGAGGTCAACCTGGTAGACTCAGTCCAGGTAGGTCTAGTCCCCTCCTCCCAGGCCGAGCCAAACAATCCTGCATAGGCCCCATGTTTCAAACAGCCAACTCATGCAATGAGCACAAGATCTGGTCCCACTGCCTGGATGCCTCCCAAACAGATCAAGCCAATCAACTGTCTCACCCATTCGGAGGGCCTGATCCAGTGGGGACCCCTCAGCCATTGGTTCATAGTTCATGTGTTTCCATTCATTTGGATATTTGTCCCTGTGCTTTATCCAACCTTGGTCTCAACAATTCTCGCTCATATAAACCCTCCTCATTCTCGTTAATTGGACTCCCAGAGATCCACCCAGGGCCTAGTCATGGATCTCTGCATCCAGATCCCTCAGTAGTTGGATGAGGTTTCTAGCACAACAATTAGGGTGTTTGGCCATCCCATCACCAGAGTAGGTCAGTTCGGGCTGTCTCTCGACCATTGCCGGCAGTCTGTTGTGTGGGTATCTTTGTGGATTTCTGTGGGCCTCTCTAGCACTTTGCTTCTTCCTGTTCTCATGTGGTCTTCATTTACCATGGTCTCCTATTCCTTGTTCTCCCTCTCTGTTGTTGATCCAGCTGGGATCTCCCGCTCCCCCAAGCTCTCTTTCCCTCGACCCTCGCCTTTCATTACCCCCACTCATGTCCAGGCTGTTCATGTAGATCTCATTCCATTTCTCTGTCATTGGGCGATCCCTGTGTCTTTCTTGGGGTCCTGTTTTCCGGGTAGCCTCCCTGGTGATGTGAGTAGCAGACAATTCATCCTTGTTTCATGTCTAGTATCCTGCTATGAGTGAGTACATACCATGTTTGTCTTTCTGAGTCTGGGTTACCTCACTCAGGATGATTTTTTCTAGATCCATCCATTTGTCTGCAAACCTCATGATGCCATTGTTTTTTTCTGCTGAGTAGTATTCCATTGTGTATATGTACCACATTTTGTTTATCCATTCTTCAGTTGAAGGGCATCTGGGTTGTTTCCATGTTCTGGCTATTACAAACAATGCTGATATGAACATAGCTGAACAAGTGCTCTTATGGTGTGGTTGAGCATTTCTTGGGTATTCCTAAATAGAACACCAGTAGCACAGACTCTGAGAGAAACAATCAATCAATGGGACCTTTTGAAACTGAGAAGCTTTTGTAGAGCAAAGGATACGGTCAACAAGGCAAAGCGACAGCCTACAGAATGGGAAAAGATCTTCACCAACCCCACATCTGACAGAGGACTGATATCCAGAATATATAAGGAACTCAAGAAATTAGACATCAAAATGCCCAACAGTCCAATTAAGAAATGGGCTATAGAACTAAACAGAGAATTCTCAACAGAGGAAACTCAAATGGCCGAAAGACATTTAAGGAATTGCTCATCATCCCTAATCATCAGGGAAATGCAAATCAAAACAACTCTGAGATACCACCTTACGCCTGTCAGAATGGCTAAGATCAAAAACACTGAAGATACCTTATGCTGGAGAGGATGTGGAGCTAGGGGAACTCTCCTCCACTGCTGGTGGGAATGCAAGCTTGTACAACCACTTTGGAAATCAATATGGCGCTTTCTTAGAAAATTGGGAATCAATCTCCCCCAAGATCCAGCATCTCTTAATAGTATAAAAATAGTAACTTGTGATTATGTTTTCAAGATTTTTAAAGTATATTTAAAACTTGCATATACTTACAGTGTCCAGGGTAATGTTTTAATACACATATACACCGCATAATGATTACTATAACGAAGGCAATTAATGTATCCATCACCTTACATTGTTATTGTTTTTCCTTCTTGTGGTGAGAAACTAAAGATCCACTCTCAGGGCTGAAGAGATGGCTCAGTAGTTGAGAGTTTGTGCAGAAGCCGAGGAAACAATCAGTTGAGTGAAGAGATCCAGAGTTGGAGGGACTCTTGGCCAGCTACACGTCTGACAGAGGATTAATATCCAGAACATAAAGATTTCAAAAAACAGATAGTCACGGAAACAAATGATCCAATTAAAAATGGGCAAGGGTAAACCTCATTGGCTACGATACTGCCACTGTGAAAACCCTGTGAGCCGTTCTTTAAATTGTAAATACGGGCAACCTTTCTGATGACTCGGCCATTTAGCAGCTCTTTGTTTTCTTAGAAAGCCAAGCCGGGCGGTGGTGGCGCACGCCTTTAGTCCCAGCACTCGGGAGGCAGAGCCAGGCGGATCTCTGTGAGTTCGAGGCCAGCCTGGGCTACCAAGTGAGTTCCAGGAAAAGGCGCAAAGCTATACAGAGAAACCCTGTCTCGAAAAAACCAAAAAAAAAAAAAAAAAAAAAAAAAGAAAGCCAATAAAGAGGGTATTTGGAATAAAATAAGTGGGCAAGGGATCTAAACAGGGAGGTCTCAACAGAAGAAATAAAAATGGCTAAGAAATAACTCAGAAAGTGTTCATCATTCTTAGCAATTAGGGAAATGAAAATTAAAACAACCTTAAGACTTCATCTTATTCCAATAAGAATGGCAATGATCAATAAAAACAATTGACAAGAAATGCTAGTGAGGTCATGGGGAAAGGGGAATCTTCAGTCACTGTTGGAAATGCAAACTGGTGCAGCCATTCTGGAAATCAGTATGGAGAATCCTCAATAAATGAAAAATAAATCTACCCTATTACCCAGCTATCCCAGTCCTTGACATATGCTCAAAGGAGTTGGCATCCTACTCCACACATACTCAGCAGTGTGCATTGCTGTCCTATTCACAGTCGCCAAGAAGTGGAAACAATCCACTTCAACAGAAAAATGGATAATGAAAATGGTGGTACATATACAAAATGAAATGCTATTTAGCCTTAAAAAATGAAAAAAAAAAAAGAAACTTGTAGGTAAATGGATGGACCTAGGAAAGATTATATTGAGTGAAGGAGCTCAGACCCAGGAAGATAAGTAATTTATGTATTCTCCCATCAGGGCTAGTGAGGTCAGGACCTTAGAATAAAGCTACTACCTCCACTTTGCTGGATCAGTGTAATTCCTAACCACATTGTAAATCTTACTCACTGGTAAGTGTAGCTATCACCTCTCACCAAAGAAGCTTCTCTTTACAGCAAGTGGAGACTGTCACAGAAAACCGTAACTGGATACAATACAGAGATCAGTGGACTGTGGGAATCCCAGCTCCAGTGAATACATCTATATCACAGCTCCTGCATCTCTGGCTCAGGGAACATCTTAGGAGTATGGGTAGAAAGACTGTAAGAGCCAAAATACCAGGATGTCTGCTTGAAACAGTCTGATAGAAATGGCTGCGTGAACAAGATCTGAAGAATGGCAGTATCAATAGACTCGTCAGTGTGAGAGGGAGGAAATCTCATGTGGTTCTACCCCTAGACAGAGAACAACTGGCAACTAATGGCTGCTGGGATAGGAAGAGTTAGCCTCTCCTAGGGATGTGTCCCCTAACCGGTTGTCCAATACAAAGGGGTCAGCCCTGAAACCATATACACACAGCCATTTTTATTATGACTATATAATAATATTTAATTATTATAATAATTATATTAATATATTTGTGCATATATGCTTTATATACCAATGGTAATCAGGAAGGCAAAGGCTATCAATTTTGGAGGGAGGAGGCATGGAAGGAGTTCAAAGGAGGGGACTTGGGAGAGGCTGGAGGGAGGAAAGGAAGGAGAGAAGTGATGCCATTATATATTTAAAAAAAACTTTTTATTGATTCTTCCTGGATTTCACATCATGCATCCTGATCATACTCATCTTCCTGTCTCCTTGATTCTGCCCTCTGACCTTGCAATCTTACCCCCCAAACAAAACAAAATTTAAAAGCAAACGTCAAACAAACAAACAAGATATCGGTGCGGAAGCTGTAGTGTATCACAGTGAGTCACACAGCGTACCCTTTAGTTCACAGGTCATTACTTGTAAGTGTTCATTGCAATGAGTCATTGGTCTGGTTCGAGGCCTCTGGGTCCTGCTATACTATCGACACTGGACCTTCACTGGAACTCCTCTTGGATATCCTTTTGTTGTCCTGGATCATGGAGACCCTGCAACTTTGGATCTGCAAGTCTGACCCCTTCAATCCTCCAGCCGTCCATAGATGAGGTGGATGTTGGGATGGGCTAACTCACAGCCCTGGTACTGGGTGTGGGTGGTAGCTAGATTGGTCATCCCACCAGCTTTCCCTCATTGTCGTCACTCATGTCATTATATATAAATGAGGATGATGATAAAAGAGTATGTACTGCTCTTTCAGAGGGCTGGAGTTCAGTTCCTAGCACGGATATCTGGTGGCTCATAACTGTCTGTAAGGGACATCTGACACATCTGGTCTCTGAGGCACATGCATTCACATACACATATGTACACACACACACACACACACACACACACACACACAAAAAAAAAAAAAAAATGAATCCAAGAAAAAGAGACCAGCTCTGTTTACATCCTGCTTTCTGAGTTCTCCATAGATTTTAGTTGTCCTTTTTAAGAGTTCTCAGGCATGTAGGGGACTAATCTATGTACTGCTGCATTTCCATAGTACATGTGTATGTTTGGAAACCTTACATATTTATTTCAGTTGCACTTTTCTTTGTGGGGAGAATATTGGAAGCTCTCTTTCTTGGGCAAGTATAACATGAATTCTAACAGGTCTTTTAATAAAAAAAATGGAGCCAGATTTGGGGGTAAATGCTGAAAGATCAGAGAGACAAAGGAACACGCCACTGCCACATCTTACCTCTAGCACTCCTCAGCCTGAAAAGCTTTTTGGCCAAAGGCCTCTAGCTCAAAGGGCTCTCAGCCAAAAAGCCTTAGTTCCTATCTCCTCACTACCTTTCTCCGCCCAGCATATCACTTCCTTCTTAGTGCTGGGATCAAAGGCCTGTGTACTTCTCAAGCAAAGGCATGAGATCTCAAGTTCTGGGATTAAAGGCATATGATTCCCAAGTACTGGGATTAAAGGTGTGTGCCACTACTGCCTGGCTCTGTTCCTCTCCCAGACTGAGTCAATCTCGTGTAGTCCAGGGTGGCTTTGAACTCACAGAGATCCAAACAGATCTCTGCCTCCTGAGTGCTAGCATTAAAGGTGTGTGCCACCACTGCCTGGCATCTATGTTTAATCTAGTGGCCTGTTCTGTTCTCTGATCTTTAGGCAAATTTTATTAGAGTACACAATATATCACCACAGGTGAGCAATGTTGATTTTTCCAATCCATGATTGAAGTTGCTATTGCTTATCTATGGCCAATGACTTATTCTTTCTAGTACTTAGATGAGAGAGTATACTATGATTAATTATAGTCTTTGAATTCAAATAAAAAATAAAGCCAGTGTGTTGGGGAGCTAATTCAGTGGTAGAGCACTTTCTTAGCATGTCCAAGGTCCTAAATGCAATACCCCGTTCCTAATGCATGTGAAATTGTCATGTGAGACAGAAATACGTCATTTTCTTGCAACAGAGTCTCACTCTGCAGCCAAGCTGACCTTGAACTCAGGACAGTCCTGTTTCAGCCTCTCAAATGCTGGGATAAAAGGCATGAACCATCATGCCTAGCTATGCTTTATTATTGCTTTCCATTGTTGGGGATCAAACCCAGGTCCTTGCACAGGCTGTCATATTTTCAAAGGATCTCAAATGTTCTTGTAATGCATAATGTCTAATATTTTAGCAACAGGAATGTGCAAGTAACACAGAGAAAGATCCTACCCAGCTGCATGACCTCATCAGCCTCCACCACCACAGGATTGCACACTTTCTCATCTAACATCAGACGGATGAGACACCGTCTGTTCACTCTGTTCAGAGACATTTATAAAGTCTTTGGTCCTTGTGGACTGTTGGATGATAGAATCTTGCTGACTTAGACTTTGAGGAAATGATTTTCAATGGAAACGAAGTGACTCATACTGAAAGTACCACAGGAAAGCTTTTCTTCAGAAGTTTATTGGGATCTACCAAGGCTGGGATTTCAGGAACATCTAGCTGTGCTCTGCCATGAGCACTGGATTTCTTTCTTTCTTTCTTTCTTTCTTTCTTTCTTTCTTTCTTTCTTTCTTTCTTTCTTTCTTTCTTTCTTTCTTTCTTTCTTCTTCTTCTTCTTCTTCTTCTTCTTCTTCTTCTTCTTCTTCTTCTTCTTCTTCTTCTGTATTTCACATTCATGGCCTCAACAAACTGCTTTTGATAAGTTGTGTATGATCTTGTGACTCACACATGAAAAAATGCATTCTAGAAGAATAAAATTTATTAATAGATTTTAACACTTTGATTTTGGGGATAAGGTTTAAAATATTTTCATATCTTTCCCTCAAATACATGATATATAATATATTATATATATTATAGTAATATTTCATAGTAGTACTTTTGCAGCTTTATCATAATATATAGTTGGAGCAGTATTAGTTCAAGCAAATATCACTCCCCATTTCCTCATCTTGTTGATTTATAGTAGCCTCGGTGTTGAAGCATAATTTGTTGAAATTATAACATTTTCTTTTTTGCTGTAGCATTTAGGAGAAATGAAAACAGTTTGAAATTATAATGTAAGAGGCTAAGAAAAAGCAAGGGGAAGAGCAGAAAAACATAAACAAAGCAGTAAAATCTTGGTAAAATCACATTAGCAAGGGCTTGGCCGTGGAGACAGACGTCCATGTCCACCATAAGAACACGACTGTATAAACTCTTATTCTTCCCCATGTATTTTTTTTAATCTAAGTTTTGGTTCATTCATGAAATTTCATGAGCTAACTTCTAGAGCCAGCTAGTTTCTTGGGGAGGGATTCTCTTTCAGCGCTGCTGCCCTGTAGGCACTCTCTGATCCCAGGTGACCATTCAGTGAACTCTTATTTTTAGTATTAAAGTCTGTTTCCATCTGATCCTTTGGGCCTGAATCATTGTAGCTCAGAGTGGGGACATCAGGGGTGTCACAGAGATATCAACTTGCTTACCATAGGCTTGTTGAAGTAGACTCGCTTCCACCAAAAGACAGAACTGTAGACAGCTAGCAAAAGCTCCAGCACAGTGAAGATGAGCATCACCACCAGCCCACTCTGCAAAGGAACACAGACCTTGGTGGGACCACACACAAAGCCTTTGGGCCCTACTGAGAGGAGATAGGGGCGTGGCGTGGCATGGCGGGGTAGGGTGGGCACTGAAGCCCTCAGCAATGGAGACCAGGAGGAGCAGAGGCAATGGCTCAGTTCTCTGCTTTCTCGTTCAGGTTTCTTGGTGATCAGACAGAGAGGAGAAGCAAGAGTGACTGGCCACCTGTCTCTGCTTGTTTTCACCAATTCCTGTTTGTCCTTGGTGCTTTTCATTCATCCTGTTTTCAGGTGTGGATTCAGATTCACTTACCCTGTAGGATTTTTCCCTGGGTTCCTTCAGCGTGCAATTTCATGAAAATTTCTTAGATAATTATTTTTTCATGGTCTCCTTCTCTCTCCCACGTTTTTCTATTAGAACTTACATTCATGTTCAACCCTTTCTTGTAACTTCAGCCTTTGTGTCATTCATGTTTTTCAAATTTGATATGATTTAATAAGATATTTCTTTAGATGCATTAAATCTGCTTTTCACTGATCTCAGTTTTTAATTTCTAAGATTTTTTTTATTTCTAGTCATAGTTCCTCTTTATCAAGTCCCCTGTCCTTTTGATCATACTGTCCTGTTCTTATGTTTTGGTTTTGTCCTAGTCAGGGTTTCTATTACTATTATAAAACACCAAGACCAAAACATCTTGGAGAGGAAAGGGTTAATTTTAGCTTATACTTCCAGGTAACAGACCATCAGTCACTGAGGGAAGTCAAGGCAGGAACTCCAGGAAGGAGCCTGGAGGCAGGAACTGAAGCAGAGGCCATGGAGGAGCATTGCGCATTTGCTTGCTAAACCTGCTTTCTTGCAGCACTCAACAGGATTGAGCATTTTTCTGTAGCAGGAATCTTAAAAGTTCTTATTAATAAAATCAAACCTGAGCCAGGTATTGGGGTGAACACTGGAAAATCAGAGAGCCCGAACAAGCCACAGCTACCTCACCTCGCCGGATCCTCAGCTGGTCTTGTTTCCTCAGACTGGAGGATTCTGAGTCCTCATCCAAAATGGGTCTCAGCTGAATTGCTGCTCAAAAGCCTGAATGCTTAACCAGCCAAATGCTTAACCAGGCCAAATGCTTCTAGTTTCTGGTCCTCATGCCTTATATATCTTTCTGCTTTCTACCACCACTCCCTGGGATTAAAGGCTCGCTTTCTGGGATTAAAGGCATGTGTCACCATGCCTAGCCGTTTCCAATGTGGCCTTGAACTCACAGAGATCCAGAGAGATCCAGAGGGATCTCTGTCTCTGGAATGCAAGGATTAAAGGTGTGAGTGCCACCATTTTCTGGCCTCTATGTCTATCTAGTGGCTGTTCTGTCTCTGACCCCAAATAAGTTTATTAGGGTGCACAATATTTTGGGGAGCACAATACCACCACATTTTTCTCACATTTCCCATATGTTTATCATTCTATGGTTTAAGTGCATATGCGATGGTGTTGGTATCAGTGTGCGTCTTTAATATGTAAGAATCTTATAAGTGGGATTTATTGATATGTCCCTAGATAATTGCTTTAAGTCTGATTTTGTAAGGACCTTAAGAATATCAGAGATACAGAAGCAGTTTTAATCCCTTTATTGGAATCCCTCCTAGTATCTATGGAACTGTGAGTTTCCATGTGCCATCTGCACGGGATTAGGTGAGCTGAGGGCAGGGATTCGTGAAACTTCCTGTGGTATTGAGTACCATTTCCTGGTCCAGTCATCACAAATGACTTTTCGGTCTCTGTTTCTAATACATCTGCAGGGCTCTTGGTGTGTGCAGCTGACCTGACAGCCCTAAACCTCTACCCAGGCGTTGACAGTTTTGGATCCTCGTCCCTAGCACCTGTTTATGTGCAGACTCCCAGGATTCTGCTTTGAAAATTTGACTTTAGAGTCCTTACTAGCTTCTACAACCTACATCATCATTATTTCTTCCTTCCTCTAGCTCCTTTTTATTTTCTTCCAGTCTTAAGTACACACACACACACACACACACACACACACACACACACACACACACAGTTACTTTTGTCCAGATTAATGCCATATTTATTAAGTACTAGCATCCCTTTGAGGCTGGCTTACTCTGCCATGCTACAACTTTTCTGATGTTGAGGAAGTTCTTTCTGACTCTACTTGTATGAGCGTAGGAGACAATTTGATGTGCTAAAATCAATCCTATTTAAAGCAATCCCCCAGTATCCCAGTGGGAGGATGCATCTCTCACATTGCTTTACCCTGTTTGTCTTGTGGTATGACCTCCTGGGATTTCTCAAGCTCACTTCTCACCAGATAAGACTCTGTTCTTTCACTCCCTCAAGCTCCCAGGTCAACACTTTTGGTCTCCTCACATGGTCAGACTCATAGAGGGATGTGAGTCCAAAAACTTTCACACCTTCTCTAAGACTCCTGAGTCAGATGGACACAAGGGGATGAAAGACATAGGCTTGGTCACTCACTGCTCCCACTAGGAGAAGTCATGAAGGAACAACCTTCTTCTTTAAAAGACTCATTGTTAAGGTTTAGACGCTCTAACCCTACATTTAGGACATGGACTAAACCAGACTTGTCACTATTAGTAGGTGGTGGCTGTCACATTTGGGTGAAAGGTGCCAAGGAAACTCTGCCCGGGAACACTGATGTTTTTCATAGGAGTCATATCTACTGGTTAGCTGCCTCCTACCCTCTCTTCCCTTTGCTCACCCTGAGCAGACATGCACTTGAGGACAGAAAGCACTTTGTGTCTGCTCCAAGTCTTAGAGTACATGTGACCAGAAGGCAAACCTCTCTAATATGTAGAGCTTTCCAGCGCCAGGAAACAACCCCAAAGAACTTCCCAAGTTGAAGCTCAACACAAATACCAAAGAATAAATAGCTTTGCCTGTTGTGATTTAAAACTCTCCATTGTATTTTCTTCATCTCTTCCCCTTCTTCCCCTTTCTGCTGTGTTTCATGCATCCCCCAATGCATAATCTGCTAACTTTCTGTCATACTTGTTTTTTTTTTCCTGTCTGCCCCAGACAGTCAGACCAACAAAACCAGAGATTGCTGAAAAAGCAGAAATTACCCAAAGGGGAGAAACTGGGGCTTTACATGACAAGATGTTTAGTCTGGAATGACTTACCATGACACTGACATCAGCAAGGAGACAGTTCTTGTCTTCATTCATCCAATGGTGGGATTCCGGAGAAGGTAATAAGGACAGAAATTTCTTTTCTGAATTACAGTGTGGAGAGGCAGTCCCCAGGGTGATGAGGCCGTGGGTGAGGAGGAAGAGGCCAGCTGCAGCAACAACAGAGCTTGCAGCATTGGAGGCCAGACTTCTCAGTGCCTGGAAGACAGAGTCTGTATCGGAGTCTCATCCCAGCTTTGTGCAGGATGCCCCGCTCTTTGCCTCTTATACTCCAGTGGTGCTTCCCCAGAGTTGTTTCTAATATAATCTGTGACCTCTTATCAGGCAGACTATGGATAGTTTGTCATTGTATCGCTCAGCGCTCTGCAGTTTGTCCCATGAGACAGTTAGAAAACATGTCTTGAGTGGGAGAATGTGAGCAGCTCCCCACAGGCTGGCTTCCTGACTCTCTATGACACTGAGCACTGAGATGGGGATCCTCAGCCTACTGCCACTATCTCCACTGACTTCCCAAAGCTCCCAGAACTGTCCTCTGAAGACCTCTTACAATATGGCCTTTGGCACCCTCTGGAGAACCCAGACTGTAGTTTTACCTCACATAAAAAGGAGCTTTAGAGAATAATGGAAGCAACCTGAAGAGGTTGGATACCCTAGAGCAGTGGTTCTCCACCTTCCTAATGCTGAGACCCTTTAATACAGTCCGTACAGGGTGATCAGGCCAAAGGGAAGATAATGTACTTTCATGTGACAAGCAGTTGACGAATTTGCACCTTCTTTTACCTTCCAAGAAAGGGAAAGAAGTATTGGTGTGTGGGCTTAGTTCCTGTGGTTCTAGCTATGCCCACCCTCAAACAACACAATGAGCAGACAGTAGCCTTGAAAACACAGCAGGAGGAAGCAGTAACACTGCTGCTCCTGTGGGTAGCAGCCCTTCCTACTTCCTGCCACATACCCACCCAGGTGGGAAAGGCACACCCTGACTCCAGAAGCCACAGGGTCTGGCTAGCTATGGCTGAGAACACAAGGTGGTTTAGGAGCTGGCACATGTTCCTGATGACTGAAGCTGCAGTATAAACCCAGGAGTCCTGGGGTGGTTGAAGAGTTCCCAGCATTGGATGGGGTCATAGTTCTGGACTTGAAATCAAGAAATGTAGACTCCCATCTCTGCTGTTGTTAATCTCTCTGTGTGTGACCAGGCAAGCTCCTTTCTGCTCTGTGTTTCAGTTTTTCTCCCATCACATGTGGAAAATGAACACATTCATCTCAGAAGTGACGTCCCAAGTGTGTCAGTGGGCCAGCGGAAGAATACATGGCCTCTAACCTGTTCTGAGCTTTGTTTCCTTAAACTGTGCAGTGGAGGGCTGGAACTAGAAGAATTACCTATGAGGTTCCAACTAATACAACCAACTGGAGATTGATGGTCTTCATACTTACAAAGGGTTTGACTGAGGTTTTCCCAGAGATAATTGAGAGAGATCCAGCAATGGCAAACTGTTCAGGAAAGAGAGAAAAGAAAGAGTTGGCCTAAACTGCTTTCAAACCACTCACAGAAAGCAGTGGGAAACCTCTAGGGAGACAATCCTGCAGGAATGACATGTCCATATTGCTAGGGAGGCTTCATATCTACTTGGGATGGTTATGTATGCTGACTTTAAAGAACAGGCATCTGGTCAGGGAGGTTGAGTTTATGTTACTGGAAAGCAGCAGTTGCTGCAGGCAAGACGCAACAGATGCCTGGCAGATGCTACTAATGTTGAAAGAGGAGGTTGGGAGTGATCAATGACTTGAGACAATATGGAGATAAGGAAACCAACAGAAGCACCTCAGAAAGAGCCTCTGATATGGCAAGGGACAGAAAAATATGGAGTTGAAGCTATTGGTGTATGTGGAATGAGTATTACCCAGAGTTTAGGAAACCAGGAGGACAAGATCCAACATGAAACCTTTATTATAACTGCCCAGAAGGCAGTTTTTGATCCCAGTGGTACTAGGATCCCAGCAAGCAGAGGTATGGTGGTCTGGGAAGCTGAGACATTGATTATGCCTGTGGCTTGAGTATTGGGTAGTCACAGATAATGAGAGACCAAAATGAACTGGCAGTAGATTCACTAATGAAATATGGAGGCTGCCACCACCGGTTAGACAGTGAACTCCAGGATAAATTGTGCTTTGGGGACAGGAGCAGACTTTCTTGCACACTGTGTAGTTGTGTCCATGCAGGGACCATGGTGACTAAAACCCCTTTGTATAATTCATCTTCTCAGAATGTGCCTCTTTCCCTCATTTTTACAAGATTTTCTATGAAGAGAAACAATCGTTGGTAGGAGGTACACATTGTGCTAGCTACTCTGAAAATAAACTGCAGTGGGGGCCCTTGCCCATGAGCCATTATATGAGAAGCCCCAAAACTCTACAGATGTTTAGGGTTACCTGGAAGCAGAAGAATGCCTCTATTTCCTATGAATCTTGTCATTTCTGAGATAATGTCTGCAAACCTGTGACATCTGATAGAGGTCCCAGGTTACTGTTTAACCAGTGTTTCTCACTCTCTAACTGAGAAGTGGATTACTCTTAAAATGGGTAGAATCTAATGGCCTCTTCAAAGACCAAAAGAGGGCTGTAATAATATCCCTCCTGTCTAACAGGATGTGGTGTCAGATAAGAAATGTGCTGATATACTCAGTGTGTTGTCTTCTCCTCCTGCCTCCTGTCCTAATCAGATCCCTCCTGAGGTGCTGATTTTGAATAGGTGAGACAGGACATGAGATGATGACAGGAATGTTGAGCTGGCTCCCTCTTGCATTCTTTCCTCTTGAAGAGGAAGCTATTCTATGACTCAATGCCTGGTGTATATTTAGGAGGCATAAATGCTTTCGGAGATCAAACTTTACTTACACACAGGGATCCAACAAATGGGTACCCGGACATCAAAGTGGTGGAGGCTGCTGGGTTGAAGTAGGGAGAGTAGGAAACTGACACCAAAATGACCCCCAAGCCTGCAATCATCAGGGCACATAGTATCTGGATGGTCTGCAAAGGACAAGACATGGACCTCTAGAACATGTTTTTAAGTAGATGCAAAGAATTATTTGAATATACACTGACTTATAAGGAGTGTAAAATATGTTATGATTTCCTGTATTAAAAGGGGTAAACCCCACAAGTACCAAATATGCCTATTCTAAGAGAAAAATAATCCAAAATTTACCTCTTTTATTTTTTGAAAGGCTCATTAAACTCAGAAAGTGATCATGTGAATGTTGTAATTCTGAGAAAACTACTTCACAAAACATTTCTTTTTTGGGAAAAGTTGTTTGGACTAGAGCACAGTTAAGAAAATATGGAGAAGGAACTTCCCACTGGAGTGTCAGTGCAGGCCTCAACTTCAACTGAGAGTCGGCGAGCATCGTATTTCTAGTGCTGTCTCTCATCCTTTTTTATTTGTATTTTGAATTTAAAAATCACTCTGATTGTCACAGCACCAAGTATCAGACTAGTTAACATGTTTAAAGTGTTTGCATTCTCAGCAGTATTCATCACATCTGTGTTACAGATGAGGAGTTAAGTTGTACAAAATTGCACAAATGTCAAAGACCTGGTGGAATGTTTTTTGGACTCTCTAGTTTGAATTGGAATCCATATTCTTATTCACTGCTGGGTATGTGTTGTAATTTACACACAAACAAAGTAACTCAAAAGTACGAGATGTCATCTATTACCACAATTCATCATTGAATATCCACAATTCATCATTGAATACCCATGTACCAAGAGGCAGGCATGAAACAAATGAAAGTCACTGTGGTAGAATCTTACCTCTTACATGTACCATGTAAAGAGAAGTTTCATGGCAACTGGGATGAAGTATTACTGGAGCATGTTATCAAGGATGGGGCCATCAGGAATAGAGATTTGTGGATAAATAGATGGGAGACATTGTAATAGAATAGAAGATCCAGAAGAGAACACACATGGATATAGCCACCTAATATTTAACAAAGGTGTCTTCAACAAATGGTGTTGGGGAAACTGGAAACCCACATGTCAAAGAATGAAGCTAGAGCCCCATCTCTTACCTGCTCATAAATAATTCAAAATAGAACAAATATGTTAAGGTAAGATCTGAAGCTCAGAAACTGCCAGAGGCAAACATCAGGAAAACACTTCAAGATGAAGGGATTTTATGAAAGGGAACCCAATAATTCAGATAACAATGGGAAGAATCAACAAGATTACTTGGGATGGAAAAGTTTCTGCCTAGCAGTGGAAACAAACAGGAGAGTGAAATTACAGACTGAAAAATGGGAGAAAACCATTGATGACTATATATCCTATGAATAGGCCCCAAAGTTAAACACTAAGAAAACCAAAACAACCAATAAATAGGCTCGTGAGTGGAATAAACAATTCTCAAAACAAATAAAGATAGACTACAAATATTTTTAAATAACATTCAGCATCCTAATGACTAATTAGAGCAATGTAAATAAAAGCTGATTTCAGATTTCTTCTCATCCCAGTCAGACTGGCTATCATCCAGAAAACAAATGACCACACATCTGATGAGGATGTGAGGAAAGAGGAACTGTTAAATGCTGCTGATGGGAACATAAACCGGTGTGGCCACTGTGGAAATCAACATGGTGGTTCCTGGAACAACTAAAACTAAATTAGAACCAGCGTATGATCCAGAGGATGACTTCTGGGTATGTCCCCAAGGGAATCAAAGTCAGCATATCACAGAGAGGCCTGCACAGCCAAGCTCATTGCTGTACAATAGCCAAGGCATGGGACAATTTAGATGTCCATCAGCAGCTGAATAGAAAAACAAAATGTGGTCTTTACACACAATGTAATTTTATTCAACCATGAAGAAGAATAAAATAATGTCATGGAAATGTGTGGAACAAAGGATCATCGTACTAAATAAAATAAGACCAACTCAGAAAGACAAATAATGTCTTTTCTCTATCATGAAAAATATACATTTAAATATATATGTATGCATATATACATAAGCATGAGAATGGAAGAAGCACTACTAGGGAGGAGGGAGTGGTCCAAGAGGTGGGAGATAAGAGAAAACAATGAGAGGGAAAAGACAAGTGCCACGCTCTCCTTTCATATATAGAATCTGAAGTTGTGCACTGTAGGTACACACACACACACACACACACACACACACACACACACACACACACACACGCACACACACCTTTTCACACACGCTCATGGTAAAAAAGCAAAGAGAAAATATTTGGCAGAGAAAGAAAACCATCAAGAGGTGGGAAGCAATCAGGGATGTAATCAGCAGGCAAGTATGAGTATATATATATAATTCTATATATATTTCTATCTTTCCATACATCCTCTATCTACCTATATGTCTGTCTATCTATCTATCTATCTATCTATCTATCTATCTATCTATCTATCTATCTATCTATCTATCTTCTATCTGTTGAAAGCAGTGGGAGTGATATAAGGGCCAAGGTCTTGGTATGCAGGTAGTGAAATAATCGCCGAGTAGGATGACATGAGTTTCTAAAGTGGGAATTTCCAGGGGTGAGAAGACAGCTAAAAGATTGATCTCAGAGTCCTGAGAAGCAAAGACAGTGCTGACTTCCTTTCAATGACTTGGGGTGAGAATTGTTGACAGAGTGTCTTCTGGAAGCAATGTGCTGCTGACTCAACAAAGAAGAGGCATTTGGAGAAAAAAAAAAGATGGATAAAGAATCTAATGATTAATATTTAAGATGTGGTAAGGAATTATGCTGGTATAGCTAAGTAGCTATAGTAGATTATTTTCCTAAGACCCGTAACCTCACTAGTCTCAGGAGGCTGGCTAGGTTTCCCCTCCCAGGCACAATTTCCCTCCTGCTGAATTGGCCTTAAGTCCAATTAGATAGCTGTCGGTTGCCGCTGACTTGTGAGTGCCACTTATTTCACCTCTCTTCATATCTTGTTATGCTGGTTAGTTGTGGATCATAGTATTGCAGTTGGGTAGGACTGTTTGTTTCCTTTCCTTGGCATAGTATTTTCTGGAAGCATGGAAACTAAACCAAAGAAAAGATGCTTTTAGAACCAGCTTGAATCACCTGAGTCCTGTCTCCTAAGTCCACAGTGTCTTCAGCAGTAAGGACCCTCCCCCAAACCATGAGAAGCAACCAAGGGGCTACGTCAATTATCTATACTGTTTTGGGAGTCACTGAGTCTACCCTGCTCAACCCAAACCCCAGAAGACACACTTGGTAAGGTTTCTGAAAATGGGAAGGAATAGAGTTTGGGTCTTAATAGGAAGTATTTAGAACCCAATGATGAATAGGGTCCAGCTCATGAGGAATGTTGATACTTGGATGTCTTACAGCAGCTCATGTGGACACAGAGAAATGTGTGGATAAAGGCAATCTAGATGGTGTCATCTGAAAATGTTTGAGAACCAAACTTCAAGTAAGAAGACCTAATTTAATCAGACTAATAAAATCATGTGTCTAAGTCAGAAATCTGCACTAAAGACAAATGAGAAGAAACTAATTTCTTAATTATGCAGTTTTCTGGTGAAAAAGGCACGAGTGGGTTTAATTACTTAATTATTTAACTAAATGAAATCCCCTAGAAGAGTATAGTTTCTGGAACAGCTGTATTTCACATTCTGGTTAGCTTGTGGAGTCAGCCAGAAACAAGTCAAGGATGCTCCCAGACCCACTAAACCTCTGTAGTTTCTGTATATCTCTTCCGTGTTTTCCTTCCAACAAGATGGACTTACCCCAAGAACTGTGGCTTCCTTCGGCACACCAACCAGCAGGTCATCTCCTTTTTGGTATGTGTGTCCAGCTTTCTCTCTTTTGTGGATAACGATGTCCATTGGAAGGCAGGCACCCAAATCCCAAGCCGTAGAAGTGTGATGCTGATGAGGCTAGAAGAGGCACTGAACTCATTAGTTCCTAGGGCTTGACTGACAGACACTCACAGGTACCAGAGTCTGCAGGGAGTGAAGAAGGATCACTTTTCTTTAGATGAGAATTGGGTACATGTAGGGTCTGATGACCATAGACTGGCTTGTTTTCTACAAACAGAACTGGATCTGAGTTTCAGGGAGAGCATAGGAGAGCTAGTCGGTTGGCTGCACTTCATTCATGATGAAAAAGAAACATGCTATTGGGGAAAATTGCAAACATTTCAAGGAACCCCACAATTTGGAGGTTAGTAATTCAAACAGAATTTGCTCTGCAGCCCTGAATGTATTCACCTCACTGCTTGCCCTGCAAAGCCTTTAGTTTTAGGTCCCGTTCTCTACCTCTTGTACCCCTGCTTCTTTTATAGTACAATCCCCTGCCACATCTCCCAGAACCTTATACTGAAGCTACATTTATGCTGTCTAATCCTCCACTGTTCATTTTCTCTCCATTAAATGATTGGATGAGTGCTTTTCTGTCTATAAAAAAGAACACATCTAATCTAGAATGTGCATCACTTTTGTTTTTTAAAACTCACGTTGAATTCCAGGCACTGGAGCACCAAAGGTCTTACTCCTTCTAAGAGTCTTACATCCTAGATGTTAAGTCCATTTCATTACCAGCTCAGAACTACTAAGTTCATTTCATTAACTGAAAGACACAAAAAGCACTTACCTGCTGCATCACATGTGTTTAATACATTGGAGCAAATATAATTATCGTTAGTCTGTTGTTTGCCTAACTTGCATGTACCTGGGCTGTGTCTACTGGGCTCGGGATCTTAACAATATTTTCCTCTATGTGACAATAATTTCCTCTCTGTGACATTTCACCTTGCCTTTTCTTTCTTCCCGATATTGACAGTTCTGCCCCAGGAGAAAACAGTGCTCCACCAGGTCGACAGTACTGAAATGAACTCCAGACTCTTGTTATTCGTGGGGCAGGTGGAGATGGTACTGCAATGGAGGTCATATGCTGCTTGCTTCTGGAGCATTGGCTGTCACTCATGAGTTCAAAGTCTGCCCGTAGGAATGGCAGTGACCCTGGGGAAGTGTGTTAAAGGTGTCTCTTTCCTGAACTGTTCCCATATTGGGAAACCTGGATTTTGACTTGATTTTTGTTGTTAAATACATCAACGCAATCCCTTTCACCCAATCTAATAACTAATCTCTCTGGTTCTGATTTCTTTCCTGGGTTTGCCAGGTCTCCTATCCAAGAACTCTATCTCATACATTATTCTAAGCTCTATGTTAGGAACTGGAAGCCTAGTTGATTCTCTCTAGACTGTCAACATTGTATGCATTCGTTTTCTGTTATTCTTAAATTGACCGATTTGTTTTTTTTGTTTTTGGTTTGTTCTTTGTTTGTTTGTTTGTTTTTTAGAGAACATCAAACAACAATTTCAACTAAAAAGAAATAAAGTTTGCATGAATCTAAATATTTCTGACTCCCCAACAATTAATATGAAATTATCAGTTTCACAGTTTACTTTATGTTCCTTTTTCCTCACATCGCTTCTCTCTCCTCTTTGTGTATTATTTTACCCAAATTATAACACCATATAAATGGTCATTCCATCCATTTAGAACTTCTTTTCACTGATTTGTCGGTGGACATCCTTAATTAATATAAGAGCCTTAAGTATAAAAGCCAAATGCTAGATTCTGGCAAAACAAAATATGCAAAGTCATTCAGTCAGAGAAAGTCAGATGCTGTGTGGTTCTACTTATGAGGTACCCTGACTACTACTACTTAATTTTGGAGAAAGTAAAATGGTAGCTGCCAAGGACTGGGGAAGGGCTGAGGAGCAGCTGTTTAGTGGATATGGTTCCACTTTGTAAAGATGACCAAGTTCTGGAGTTGGATGGGAGTGAGGGTGTCACAACATGAATGAACTTGATGCCACTGAACTGCACACTTCCTGCAATTAGAATGCTACAATTGTGTAAGCAGTTTAACTCTAATTAAAAATTCAAATGAATGCATATTTCTGGATTCATTAAACCTGACACATGTCCATGAGCATTTTGGTTATTTCTTTTTTTACCACTATGAACAATGCTGTAAGAAACATCTGTGCACTTTAAAATATTGTAGAATTTGTTTATTTTATCTATTAAATTATATCCTTATGATAGCATGTAGAGGTGGGTTTTTTTAAAAATAGAATTGAAGCTATTGTATTTAAATTTGGATATATGTAGTTATTGTAGGAACAACTCTAAAAAATGAAGTGGGTTTTTTTGAGTTGCATATGTCTGCCAACTGACACCATCACCTCCAAATCCAACAATGGAGAGGGGATGCTTTGCCCTTTGGCATTCGTTATAACGAGGTGAATGGGAGTGGCCCACAGCTTTTGAAAAAGTTCAAAAATTCCTACTATTCAGGCAAACAGCTCTGCACAATACTTTTCTGTGTTACGATATTAGATTAGAACTATAGTTTTCAAATTCAACATTTGATCAAATCCCAGTCTTCCTCGAGAACATGTTTTTGTAAGACTGAGTGGCTACAGTGAGGAAATGCAGGCAGCTCTAGAAGGTCATCACTTCAAATCTCAAGTGAAATCAAAGGGTAGTTTGCCTTTTGGCAGCTAAGCAAGTGAAGGCCCCAAATGGGCATCTGACTCACCAGTTCATGCAGGTGGTCAGCAGAAAGGTCAGGATGTGAATCTAGTTCTTTGGTTGTCTATCCAGAGCTCAATCTCCCCCAGTGGTTACAATCCAAACCAGGGCACCAGGTGGTCAACAGAAAAGACAGGATGAGAATCCAGTTTCTGTTTGTCAGAAGCACAGTCTCCCCCAGGGGTTCTAACTCAAGCTGGTGTACCTACCTGTCCTCACAGCCCTGTGCTGTGTGCTCCTGTGCCTGCTCACTAGGTCCCGGGAGCTCTCAGGCACAACCTCCCACCAGCTCTTTCCTCCAGAAGTTTTGAAACTCAGGCGGTCTGTGTGCTTTCCCCAGAAGGTATTCATGATTACTCAGGATGTGAATTTGTGGTCATTACAAGCAGTTGGCAAATGAAAAGCTGCTCTGCTTCCCCTTTCTGAATTTTGAGGTTTGGGAAAATAACACAAAATGAAAGCATCTCATGAAACAAAGAGTTCTGTGGGAAATAACCCCCCGCGCTTCTATATGTAGTGAAGGAAGCACATTGGTGATAGTAAGTCTTTCTTCTTATCTGCTGAATGAAGGATGGATATTAGTAATTCTGCCATCTGGCTGTTGCAGAAATAATGAGAAAGGAAGAGTTTATAAAAGAGAATTATTGCTAATAACAATGGTACATTTGGATTTGAGAGAATTTCAAAATTTTCTTTGTGTAATCCTTCTAGACATTGAAGAAAGATATTGAAGAAGACACCAGAGGATAGAAGGAGCTCCCATGCTCACGGATCATTAATATTGTGAAAATGGCCATCCCACTAAAGGCAATCTATAGATTGAATGCAATCCCCATCAAAATTCCAGCACAATTCTTCAACTTCATATAGAAATATAAAACAAGTCAGTATAGCTAATACAATCCCGAATTTAAAAAAAAAAAACTACTAGAGGCGTCACCACCCCATATTCCAATTTGTTTTACAGAACTATAGTAATAAAAACAACATGGTATTGGCATGAAAATAGACATCTCAATCAATATAATAGAATTGAAGACACAGACATAACTCCACACAAGTATGGAATACCTGTTTTTTGACAAAGAAGCTCTCTCTCTATATATAAATTATATATTTATATATATATATATAAATTATATATATACAGCATCTTCAATATATGGTGATGATCAAACTGCATGACTTCATGTAGAAGAATGAAAATAGATCCAGATCTATTACCCTGCATGAAAGTCAACTCCAAATTGATCAAGGATCTCCAGTGAGCATGTGTATGTGTTTCCTGTGATTTTCTTTTTTATTTCTTCTGTTTCCTTTGTTTTATTCTGTTTGTTTTCTAAAGACAGAAAGAAGATGTGGAGTTGCATGAGTAAGGAGGTAGGGGAAATCTGGGAGAAAAAGGAGAGGAAACAGTGAATATATTGTAGGAAAGCAAAATTTTGTTTTCAATAAAATATTTTTAATAAAAAAGAAGTCCCCAAAATAAATAAAAACAAAAACAAATAAACAGAAAACCAAAACCACATCCATTTTGTTAGTCTAAAAGAGGACTGACTATAAAGCAGAAGAATACTGTAGAGATGAAGAGAAAGACGGAGATACCAATACCATGATCGATGTTCATACACTGCTAGTGTACTTGAAACTAAAACTGTTGTTACCATGGCCCTAAGACATTCTGAGCAGACAAAACCACTAATGGTCAGGCTTTATGTGGGCCCTTAGTATGACTTTGTTGCAAACATAAGCAAAATTAATTTGGTTTGTTTGTTTGGTTTTAATTTCATATGATAGCACACACCCTTAATCTGTAGTCTTGCTTTCTGTGGTTTCTTTACTCACAGTCCACTGTGGTTTAAAATGTTCATAGGTAACTGTAAAAACAAATATTCATTAGTTTTAAGTTTCTGTTCCCTGAAGTGTGGTGAAATTGTACCATAAGTGAGACAGACAGACAGACAGACTGACTGAGAATTTATGTTAACCACAGCATATTGTACTATATTGTATATGAAAAAATCTAGGTTATGTAGGACTAAGTCATGCAGTTTGAGAGCCCCCCCACACTGCTGATCGTGACATATATCTTCTGAGAACCAGGTTGGGTGGGAATGGGCCCGATGTTCCCGAAGTATCTAACAAACCTACACTTATAGCATTTTCTTTTTTAAAAATTCATCTATTTATTTTATATCCCCTTCCAGTCCCTTCCTCCTTACCCACCCCCACCCCGCTCCCAACCCCCAATCCCCTCTTCTCTATCCATCTAGGAAGGGGCAGGTCTCCTATGAGTATCAATAAAACATGGTATATCAAGTTGCAGTAAGACTAAACAACTCCCCATGTATTAACGCTGGATAAGGTGACCTAGTATAAGGAAGAGGGTCCCAAAAGTTAGTGCAAGAGTTGGAGACAGCCATAGAATAGGCATTTTCTAATAATAAAAAATAAGATAAGCAACTGTATAAGTATAACCAAATCTGCTTCACTTTGGTGACTGCCCTGTGAAAGCCCTACAAGGCCCCAGATGTTCCTTCAATGGGGCCACTGACCGTCTTTAATTTGGAGCTTCACAAATCATGACTACAATAAAATTCTCAAAATTTCATC